GTTGTAGTTCTCCAAGTTTCAGCCCCATACAGTAGAACTGCCTTGACGTTGGAATTGAAGATTCTGACTTTGATATTGGTTGAAAGTTGTTTTGAGTTCCATATGTTCTTTAACTGAGGGAATGCTGTCCTTGCATTGCCAATCCTTGCCTTTACGTCTGCATCTGAACCTCCTTGTTCATCGATGATGCTTCCTAGGTATGTGAAGGACTCTACATTTTCCAGAGTTTCGCCATCAAGAGTGATTGGATTGTTGGTTTTCCCTTTGTGTATGCTGAGGCCTACTGATGCAGAGACTGCTGCCACACTGGCTGTCTTTGTCTGCATCTGTTCGTGTGTATGCGATAGGAAGGCTAGGTCAACTGCGGAGTCCAAATCGTCTAATTGATTTTGAGCTGTCCATTATATTCCGTGTTTTCCTTCAGATGTTGAGGTCCTCATAATCCAGTCAACCACCAGGAGAAAAAGGAAGGGAGAGAGTAAACAGCCTTGTCTTACTCCAGTCCTTACTTGGAATGCATCTGTCAGCTGTCCTCCATGCACGACTTTGCACTGTAGTCCGTCGTATGAGTTCCGGATAATGTTGACAATCTTCTCAGGAACTCCGTAGTGTCGAAGAAGTTTCCATAATGTCCTCCTATCTACACTGTCGAATGCTTATTCATAATCAATGAAGTTGATGTATAGTGATGAGTTCCACTCAACTGATTGTTCGACAATGATCCGTAGTGTCGCAATTTGGTCTGTGCACAACCGATCCTTACGGAATCCGGCTTGTTGATCTCGAAGTTGGGCGTCTACTGCATCCTTCATCCGGTTCAGCAACACTCTGTTGAAGACCTTCCCTGTTATTGACAGCAGTGTAATGCCTCTATAGTTTTCACATTTGCTCAGATCTCCTTTCTTTGGAATCTTGACGAGGTGCCCTTCTTTCCAGTCCATCGGTACTTGTTCCTCCTCCCAAATCTTTTTGAATAGAAGGTAAAGCATGTTTGTAGTTGCTTCGATGTCTGACTTCAGTGCTTCAGCTGGTATGTTGTCCGGACCCGCTGCTTTCCCGTTCTTGATTTTGCCTGACGGCCATTCTAATTTCTTCCGTCGTTGGTGGGTTGACGTCTATGGGAAGTTCTGTGTGTGCTGCTTCGATGTCCGGTGGATTCATTAGAGCCGGCCTATTCAGGATTTCCTCGAAGCAATCTACCCATCTGTCCCTCTGTTGTTGAATTTCAGTGATTGGCTTGCCTTCTTTGTCTTTGACCGGTCTCTCTGGTTTACTGTATTTCCCTGATAGTTTCTTCGTTGTATCGTGAAGCTGTTTCATATTTCCTTCTCTAGCAGCTTTTTCTGCCGTCGTTGCTAGTTTTTCCACGTATTTCTTCTTGTCGGCTCTAATGCTCCTCTTCACTTGTTTGTTTGCTTCTATGTATTCAGCTTGTGCTTGGACTTTCTCTGCTCGTGTTCGGCTGTTGTTTATTGCTGCCTTCTTGTTCTTCCTTTCTTTGATCTTGTCCAGTGTTTCTGTAGAGCTCCATTCCTTATGATGGTATTTCTTTAGACCGAGAACCTCTTGACACGTTGAAGTTAATGCTTCTTTGATGCCTTTCCAGTTGTATTCCATACTAGTTTCTTCTTCTTTCAGTAGATCTTGTAAGGCTTGGAACTTGTTGTTGAGAGCTATCTTGAATTCATTGAGTTTGTCAGTATTTCGAAGGAAGGCTGTATTGAACCTTTGTAGTGCTGTTTGTCCACTTGTCCAGTTCTTTTTTAGCTTCAGTTTTAAATTGGCCACAACTAGGTGGTGATCTGAAGCTACGTCAGCACCTTTCCTGGTACTCACATCTTCCATTGTCCTTAGGAATTTTTTTATTGATGCAAATATGATCTATTTGGTTCTCTGTAGTGTGGTCCGGTGAGATCCATGTAGCCTTGTGTATACGTGTGTGTGGAAATATTGTGCCGCCTATGACCAATTTGTTGAATGCACACAGATTTGCAAATCTTTCCCTAGCTTCGTTTCTCTCTCCCAGTCAATCCATGTCGTCCCATGATATCTTCATATCCTGTGTTGTCTATTCCGACTTTGGCGTTTAGATCTCCCATCAGAATGGTGAAGTCCTTTCTTGAGCATTTTTCTATGACTGATTGCTGCCGCTCGTATAATTGATCTTTAATGTCGTCGTTGCTATCATTGGTGGGTGCATAACGTTAGATAATATTCATTGTTATCCCCTCCTTCTTTGTTTTGAACGATGCTTTGATGATTCTGGATCCGTGAGATTCCCATCCTACAAGTGCATTTCATGCTACGTTGGACAGCATTAGAGCAACTTTCTGGGTGTGTGGAGCATTTTCCTCTTCGTGACTGGAGTATAGCAGCATCTCTCCCGTAGCTATCCTTTTCTGTCCAGCTTGGGTCCAGTGGGTTTCGCTGATTCCCAGTACTGCTAAGTTGTATCTCCTCATTTCCATTGCTATTTGACCGGTCTTCCCGGTCTCCCACATTGTTCGAACGTTCCATGTACCTATAAAATTTTTTGCTCTGGTTGTTAGAAGGGGCATCGGCCTCGTGGCTTCCGAAGGAACTCGGCTTTCACCATGAAGCGTTATAATTCTCCTAACTAAAGACCTTCTAACTCCCAGGGCAGAGTTTAAATGGTTTGGATTATTTTTCCTGGTAAGCGTTTTTTTTAGCGAGTTAGTTTTCTACGGGATGAGGACGCTAACCCCATGTCCAACCCTCCTCCTTTACCCGGGCTTGGGACCGGCATTAACCCTATAAGAGATACAGGCGGAGTTTTCTTTTCATCATAATAAACTAAATTAATCCAGAACGTCTACAGAATCCATATGCAACAAATATGAATTTTTTTATTGAGATCATAAACCAATTGATGTTAGACCACCATCAAAAACCTGGACAGCCGTTACGTCCTATCGTGGGACTCCTCAGCAGTGCGCATCCACGACCCCACTCACGGGATTCGAACGCAATTTAATACGTGATACAATTACACTCCGATGGCTCTCAGAATATGATACAATTGGTAAAAGTATTTTTTAATCCCCTAATGTGATTACATACTTATGCCTGTTACCTCTCGTGGAGGAGCATAGGCCACCCACTAGCATTCTCCATCCAACTCTGTCCTAAGCAATAATTTCTAGTCGCTATTCATCAATTTGATGTCTGCTTCCGATTCTCGGAACAATGTGTTCCTTGGATAGTATCTAACCGTTGTTCACGTGGGCCAATAGCAGGAATTATAATGAAGCATTTATAAAATAAATCATAACCTTTGAAACTTGTGAATAATTTCTGAATTATTTATGTTATTTCTACATACTTATCTGTAATCATATCTCAACTTCAACACTTAAATTGTAACCAACCCCACTCAAATTGTAACAAACTATTCAATAGCGTATATATTTTTCTAACAATAATAATAGCACTTATACTGTCAAATATTATTCTGTAATTTATAAATAACAGACAATGAATGATTGTATTAAATCTAATAAATTCATAGTTTATGTATATATGACCTTCGTTATATCACAATAATAAATAAAATTAGATTTCACAAGTTGTCAAGTGTTGTAAGTAGTTTTATTATTGCTGATATAATCTACGTAAGCATATTAATACCTATATATATATATATATATATATATATATATATATATATATATATATATATATATATATATATATATATATATATACCATGTCACAATAGTTATTTTAATAACATATTTAATTAATTCATATGACAAAGTCAATAATTAGTATTATTACATATTTTACGTGATCTATTAGAAATGAGACACTGTGTAGAATATCTGTAAACTTTTGTTTTTCCCAGTAGCTCATTGAAATTGATCGGTCACTACGAATATATGTGAATCTTGGAGACTAGCACAATTTGAAGATTAGTCTAGGATTTTCAACATAATTATACACAATAGACATAAAAGAGAAAAATATTTCACACTAATTGTATTGTAAAGATAATACTGATAGGATGATAATAGGATAAGATAATACTGGTAGGATTTAATATAAACTTTTTGTCTTATTTATGACTTGTCAGTTGAGTGTACTTATATCATAGATTTGATACTCACACCGTGATGTTAATCTAGTAATTATTACCTTAAACACTAGAAAGTTGTCCACTAGACGACTACATCACGATAGTCAAACTTTATATACAAGTGATAATGAGGAATTTATTCAGGAGGCCCGTATACATAGTGAACTAATTGAACAGTGAATATGAAGAGTGAGAAAAATGAGAAACCCATGCAGTTGATAACTTTATCAAGTTTTTAACAACTTTATTTTTGATTAAATATTAATACAGTTAATAACGTAATATGTCAAACATTTAGCCCGATAATGCTGTTTTATATACCAATCGAGTCATTCGAAATTACTTGTTGAATTAATAGTTCGCCAAAATGCAAATGATATTTAAGAAGAATCAGTGATTTAATACTTACGAGAGTCAATTTATACTTACTTTCGACAACCAAATCCCCTGAAATGGACGAGGGTGAGGAACGTCCGTCCTCCATCTAGGAATACTCTCACATAGCCACCAGTATAGGGCCACTCACAATGAAATCCTACTCACTGATCATGGATTCTCTTCACACACAAAAAATCATTCAATAACTTTCTAAACTAAGCATGAGCTTTCGAGTTTTTTTTCGTAATTGGATTTTGAAAAATAATAGTTCTTATATAACCTGTTTTTTTATGTTCTTAGTAAATTGATTCAAAGTTCATTGAATTCACTCAAACCCAACCTGAAAATTTCAAAGGATATTAACACCGTTAAAAAATAATAATAATAAATTTTATTTACTTAATATGTATACATAATTTTACATCAGTGATTTCAGTAATTATATGGTAGTGCTGAGAGGGGAATATATAAACGATATAATTCATTTCATTAATTTGAAAGTATACAATTATACAAAAGAAATGGCTAATAATAATAATAATAATAATAATAACAATTATTATTATTATTAGTCAGTCAGTGAATCCAATAAATATTTTATTCACAATCATATAGAATCAGAACCGGTTAGTTAATACTGATGATGAGCATAAATATACAATGTTGACAATAGATCCGAAAAGAAAATAATTATGTTTATTTATTTGTTTTTTAAAAAAAAGAAAAGAAAAGCGAAGAGATTTTAAGTAGTGATCACATTTTACGTGAAAATATCAACTCTTCTACACGATATTCACCACTAACAAATTCGAATTTGAAACGTCTTAAATCTTTCCGTGTAATGATTCCACGAACCTAAAAATAAAGTAGAAATTAATAAATTTATCAAAGTAAGTTTAAGTTTATTTATAAATAATAAATGTGACAGTTATACCTTAACAATATCGATGAGACTATAAATAAATAAAATATTTGTAATATCCCAATGAGTAGAAAAATTAGATTTTCTGACGTTTCGTGACTTAGTATAAATCACTTCCTCAGATTCTTACTGTTCCGTTGTACTATTTAAACTTGGATTAATTTTAATCCGGTTATCTATTCATTCTCTGAAGAAGTGGTTTACACTAAGTCACGAAATGTCAGAAAATCCAATTTTTCTACTCATTGGGATATTACAAATATATTATTTATTAACTGATAACAATCTATCCAATGCTCAATTTATTCGAGATTATCAAATCAAACCTTGGTAATGATACCTGCGGTGAGACTATAATTTATGGACAACCTTTCAGAGACGTTTTAGTAACTTTGAGAATGTTCACCTACTAACTAGAACTAAATGAGAACTGTCTACTAATGTGAGGAAATGCAATTATGATTTGCAGTTGATGGTTAGGGATAGGAATTAAATTTGGGGTTTTCACCACGAACTGAAATCAGTTAAAATGCTTAAAAGATTTTATAGTTATGTAAAGATCCACATTATTTGTTAACTAAGATCACATAATTTAGAACAATGAACATAATTAGACAACATTTTCTGAACAGTTGCTGTTAAAAATTACATCAAATAGATTTGGACTTTTCGTGATAGTTTTATTTAGTAACTGTATACGATTGTTGTAAGCTGTAGTCTGGTACATGTAAAAGAGTTAGTGAATGGATAAAACCAAAATCAGAAGATTACCAAATTATCCACTAGTGATCTTAGCTTGGCAGGGAACTATCAGTATGATTATCTTCGAAACAAGAGAACTTAGTGTTTTGAAAATTCCGGTAACATAATTTAATAAAGATTTGATTAGTAACGATCCATTGACTGAGAAAATCGACAGTCAGAACATTTTATGTAGTTAATGTTGGATGATTTTTTCCATACTTTCGATTTTCTTCCGCAGAATTTAGTCACTAAAACATAAGGCACTTTGAACTGATGAGATTTATGTTAGGCTAGTTTCCTTTGTTTGATGTGGCGGGACAGAAAGATGACATTAATTTATTTTAATATTGTTGTTATTAATCAAGTATAAACTTACTTCAACATGATACATGTGAACCTTCATTCAGTGAGATATTTATATTCCCTATATTAATTCAAGTGAACTATATTCACTATATTTTCCAGTAACTCTATTTATATTCCCCCATATGTTATATTACTGTGCAGAAATTATTATAGAAATCAGTGTGCTTTGGTATAATGACGAGGTAATTCTGGAGAGCCAATAAATCCTCATTTTTATAGGTCTTTCGGATTCTTCCTTGCTTCTTGGGAATTACAGTGGTTACCGTTTCCATGTATAAGCAGTAGGACGGTGGACACAACAGAGACAATATAGACAAAACACGTTTTTATAACCTTGTCAGTCATTTGTCACAAAAATAACTATCCAATAAAATCATACACACACTATTCATGACATTGTCAAACTGTAATTATAAGTACGAATTCGATGTATACACAAAGCAAAAAAAGCAGAACGTTAGTAATATACTTGATTTTGACTATCAACAACCGGTAGATGCCGGAGACCCAATAAACGGAAAAGATGGTAAACACGAGTCATTGTCATAGTCTAAAATAAGAGAAGATAATGTTTCACGTGGTAAAATTGTAGTAGAAATTAGATAATCATTGAGCAATATGACATAATAAGATAAATTCCGTTCAATAAATATAACACTGAAAGACCAATCGGAGGTCATATCACGCGATATAATTAATCGGACATAAGGACAGAACAGTTTCTGACAAAAAAAGAATGGCATACAAAAACTCAGGAAAAAGTAGTAGCTTACATTTATTAAATCCAAGCAAGTCTCTTATGAATTTGATATACTCAGTCTTAAAATAAAAATCTTAATAATTGAAAACAATCATCTTTAATCAAAAGATCCAATGATCCGTTGAAATGCTCACAGGAACCAGTATACTGCGGGATTGCTTATAGGGATTTGGAAATAGTTAGCATCTTAACTGTAAAATGACAACTATAATAACTTACTCTTCAAATACCGCCATAACACTGACAAAACTAAATGAAAATATTATCACATTATGTTTCAAAATCATATTATGATTCATTAATTGATTACTTATCTTAACAACTCCCGATATCAACCCCTGAGGTATTCTGAAGTCTACACACAAATTACTTCCAAAACAATACAATCTATTATACAGTAACCAAAGAGGAAATCCTTGTCAACTAACAAATTGTATTTAAACTTAAAGACATATCTACTACATGGGAATTACGTGAATAATTACGTAGGATTAAAAATTCATTGCTAAGTATAAAGTGAGTACGTCACCATCACATTGGATTGATAAAAACTACGCAATTAATGAAGTAATATTAGAAATTATACAAAGATGTTCATAATTATCATTCTGCATTACTTATAAGGGGGTTATAGTGAGGTGGAAAGTTACAAGAAACAGAAAGCTATGACCATGAAAAATACAGTGCCAATTGTTGAAAAATACACTTTTACAATGTATTAAGTTAAACTACATTTAATTGATTATAATCACTACTCAGAATTTAATTTCTATTCAGATATGGAAATAAAAGACAAGTCAAAAACAGACAAAGAGTCACTGTAAGTAACTCTTTTAATACTAGGAAGTCATAAATCGGATTTCTCATCAAAATAGCTTCATTTATCTGTACTTTAAAAACAGTTTGCTTATTATGCACGATACAACTACTGTGATTTATTCAATAACTTTCAATGGATTATAAACCAGATACTCATTATTTTCTGTATTATTCAGTACCTCAAACACTACAAATGGGACAAATGAACACTAAGCAATACCTTTTCTTTTACGATTGATAATGACACAATAGGGATACACTAGCATTTACAGAGTAATTTTTTGTAAAATTAAAAGGCGATCACTAGGAAGCGACTTTTAATGTGCCAAAACTGAATTATCGTGTAGTTTGAAACGTCCGAAATTTCGGTTTGAAAAATCCTTTTTCAGTTTACTTTAGTTAAACATGATTCAAAGTTATTATTTAAAAACGACAATTACAGCTCCGTATCCCGTGTTCAAAAATACGCCATTCTAAACAATAAAAAAGCAGACGTAGATGAGGTCATCAGCCTTATTCACATCTACGATCGAAAATATCAAAGCTCAGAGAACGCAATGTTTATTCCTAACGCAAGCATAAAAGAAAAATCTTGAAAATTATAGAAATAATTATTACCTACACGTGATTGAAATTCGTCAACATAATTTATCTACATGATCACATGAAGAAAGCTTTATATCAAATATTTTTAGTGGTTCACTGATCTGACTCTAATTTAAAGAACGAATGAATATGCATCAATTTAATACCGTATAGTACACTTAAATTAACCAGGTTTGTGCGACGGCAGTAATAAGAAGCCTGTTAACTGTTAAATTGAACGAATTTATTTCAGGCACTCACTTACACCGACAGACATTCAGAATGGCAAGCTGGAAAGCAAAGCGAGGGCAAGTGTGCCAACACCATATGATAAACCGTAAAGGTAAGTTAAAGACATGTGATGAATAGGGTAGGCGATACATGAATATCCTTATATAAAAACAGTCAGGGTTAATAAGGTCAAAATGTGACTGCAGAAGAAACAAATTGGTTTGTCCAGAGGCTAAAATAATCCATGTGGGAACCTAAATCCATTGTTTATAATGCTCAAGGTTTAATTGATTAGACTTTTAGCCTACGGATAAGGTTCATTTTGAAGCGAAGTCTATTTACAGTGATAATGTGGATACTGTTAATTAAAATTGTGATTTCACACAAACTAACAGAACATTGTACATTTTTATAGTGGAACACAACATTTCATCATCTTACAAAAAAACATGTGGACAATTTTAATCAAAATGTTTACACGAAGATGAGATTTCACAATTACTTTTTTAGAAGAAAAAACATTTACCTCTGGGACACTGTATGGCGCTTCACACATGTATGGCCTCAAGTCTAAATAGGCGTCCATATCATCACATGATAAATTAGCTAAAACATCCTAGGAAAATGAAAAAAAACAAAAATCCGACGTAGAACATCAGGATTCTGAACAAGCCTCACAGTTTAAAAATAATTTTAAAACGTGTATATTGTTATTGAAATTTTCGTATTTTCTTACTATTTACACGATATAAGATATTTAAACAATGTTAAAAGATTTGTATGTATCATTACCAAGGTTTGATTTGATAATCTCGAATAAATTGAGCATTGGATAGATTGTTATCAGTTAATAAATAATATATTTGTAATATCCCAATGAGTAGAAAAATTGGATTTTCTGACATTTCGTGACTTAGTGTAAACCACTTCTTCAGAGAATGAATAGATAACCGGATTAAAATTAATCCAAGTTTAAATAGTACAACGGAACAGTAAGAATCTGAGGAAGTGATTTATACTAAGTCACGAAACGTCAGAAAATCTAATTTTTCTACTCATTGGGATTTTACAAATATATTATTTATTTATAATGTTAAGAGAGTTAGATATTTTGAATTCAGTAGTAAAACAATGGTTAGAGGTTAAAGCTTTTACACACCGGTCCCAAATCTGTTCAACCAACTTCATTCTAAGCAGTTGAGTTGCATCAAGAATGATCAATAAAAATGTACGGTTTGAAACCGAGGGTATATAAAGTTCAGTCAGTTACTGACCTAGAGAATTCTATTTCAGCAAGGTTTCAGCTTAACGATAGTGACTTACATTTCATCTACTAGATTGAAAATTTAAGAAAACTTAATCTATTTGGATTTGTGCAGATAGGTAATGTCAGTTCCTATGGAGAAAGTTAGAGGTTCATGAAACAATCATACATTATGCACTACATCAAAAGCGATGGTTAGTGACTTTCAGTATAAATATTATTTTACTTAAGCAATTGTGACGTTTCCTTCACACTACTAAGCCAACAAACATTAACGAATGAAAGTGAGCACAGTGGGAGGCATTCATTACCAATATTTTGTGCAGTAATGGTTACGAGATCGGTTGTCGAATAGGTACATAAGTGTGATGGACTTGCCTAAAATTGTGTTCGGCAGCAATTACTTTATCATCAATTATTACCCTATTTTAGAAATGGAGCTTCTTAGTTTTTCAAATAAAATAAGGATAGATGCAAATATGGTCAATGACCTCAAAAAATGCATGAAATAGTACTAATTCCCTGAAGCTTTGGAATACCTAAAAAAGCGATGAAAAACTGTTTGATTCATGCAAGGCAGGTTGAAGATTTTCAAACGAACATTAAGACCGACTGACGTCATTTGTGATCTGGGAATCGGAAAATAATATGAAACACCTACCTCACATATCTTGAATTGTAGTAGTATTTCCCTCAGATCTTGTTTATTATTTATTTATTTAAACACATAAACATTGATACAAGGAGGCACCAAATATATATGCACTACACTTCGTCATTCCATTCCTGTGAGGGCTGGGATACTGTCCGAATGCCAAAACCGAAACAGATGATTGTCTTAGGAGCCACATCCGGAGCCTTTGACCTAAAGGTCTGATCCACAAGGCAGTCGAGCAACGTTAGGAGATGCAGACACATGGTAGCCGGTGACCAATAATTGGTCCATACTCCATTTGTTCCGTCTGGATCCTGGAGCCCATCTGCACCATTGTTTTGTAATCAGGGTTTTCCAACTAACTCTCCTAGATGGATCCTCCATATCCACCAAGCGGGTTAACGCGCCGGACATTCGCTCTTCGTCCTCTCAATTTCGTGAGCAACGCTCCCGTTAACTCTCCCCACTCTCGGCCATACAAAGGCATTTGGGGGCTCAGATCTACTGGAGGGTCACTGAAAAATATGCAGCATTGAACAGTCGTCTTATGCTAGTCTCAAACTCATCAGTTGTGAGGATTCATGACAACACAAACGGCCAGTTTTGAAACCTTTATCTCCAACGATATCTATACACTAATGAATTTTGATCTAACGGCCTATATCTCCGAACAATGACACAGCTTAAGACAAAACATCTATCGAATGAATCCAGTTTTAAGATGATTCTTTAAAAAGACGCTATCTTAAAACTAAACTGATTCCTATGAACCAAATAAATACGTTCAATTCCATAAAACAACAATCAAACTATCATAAACTAAATCATTTAAATGTATTAACATACTCTGAGACTTTGATCACATTCGATGAACAAAATAGAAAATCTCATTAAAAAGAATTAAATTTTAAAAGAATATGTTGACTTACACCTAACTTTGGATAGGATGGATAAGCATCATCATAATCTTTATAGGTCAATGAATATACTATATTACCATCTTTAGATAAAAATGCCTAAATACACGAAAGTTGTGAGTTGAAAAAAGACAAATGAATTTACAAAAAAATGGTGATATTTTGTATTAAGAAAAATATACATTAAAAATCTTACCAAGTTATGAAACTGTGGCTTATATATTTAAAAATTTATCTAAGTAATTTGGTATGAAATTCGAAAACCTGTCTTAGTTTTAGTAGTAAGAGGGTATTCAGCCACACTAACAAATAAAGTAGCTCAAAGTCTACTGAATGAGTCCCTGAATGCACTGGTACGGACAGAGGTGAGAAAAGTTCGTCCTCCATCTACAAATAATCTCATATGGTCACAAGTATACAACCACTAACAAGGAAGTCCTACTCACTAACTTCTGGTGGCAGAGGGGTTCTTTGCAAAGTCAAGAGGACGAAAACTCAATGTCCGAAGCTCGGACCGGGTTGGTGGATATGGAAGATTTATCTAGGGTTATTGGTTGCAAAACCATGATTACAAAACAATGGTGCACATTGGCTCCAGGATCCCGACGGAACAAATGGAGTATCAATCTATTGTCGGTCACTGAAATCTCTGAAATCTCAGCACGGATACAGAAGGCTCGACTAGCTTTTGCTAACTTGCGTCATTTATGGCGTAGGCGAGATATCCGTCTATCAACCAAAGGACGGGTTTACTGCGCAGCAGTTCGTCCCGTCCTACTTTATGGGAGTGAAACATGGCCGGTAAGAGTAGTGGATATTCGTAGGTTACTAGTATTCGATCATAGGTGTCTTCGAAACATTGCTCGTATATCATGGGACCATCGAGTAAGTAACACAGTTGTCAGGAAACGGGTACTAGGTAAGGATGGCAAATCAATTGATGAAGTAGTGAAACTTCATCAGTTGAGATGGCTGGGACACGTGTTACGTATGCCCAACGACAGACTGCCTCGACGTGCGATGTTCAGTGGTATAGGAGTAGGTTGGAAGAAAGGTAGTGGCGGCTAGACCAAAACATGGCACAAGTCCATGAAGTCACTGACAAGTGGTCTGAGTCATGTTGGTAGGTGTAGACTACATGGTTAGGGACCGCGAGATGATAGCAACCGATGGTTAGAGACCCTGAATGACATGGCTCAAAATCGTTTGCAATGGCGCAGGTGCATCCACTCTTTGTGTTCTCCCAAATTCTAATCTTCTGAATTCTTCATGTCCCTTTTTTCCTCTTTCCAAATTTATTTCACTGAATTATACTCTTTAAATAACATCTCAAAACCCTAATCTTCCCGATCACTGCTTACACTCTTGCTACCTCTACCACTACGGGATTTGGATCGACAACTGCATCTCTGTGTTAAGGTGGTGTGGCAACTCGAACTGATGTACGTACGTACGAAGTTCTACGTTGTTACTGACTGACTGACTAACGGTCACTGGTTACCATGAAACTGTATCTCCTAACGTTGCTCCACTGTCTTGTGGATTAGACCTCCAGGTCAAAGGTTCGAAGAGTGGCCTCCTGATATGACCACCTGCTTTGGTTTGGTTGCCCATGTAGTGTTCCAGTTCTCACACGAATCGAATGATGAAATGTGGTGCATATAAATTTGGGGCCTCCCTGTACCAATGGTTATTTGTTTAAATAAATAAATGTTACTGGATGAACCTGTATGCTACTACTGAGTCGAATTTTCTCACCAGTTTATCTATCAAACTTCAACTAATAACACACTTCATCACTCAATTTCTGTGAAGGCTCGATACTGCCCGGGCAACCAAACCAAAGCTGGTGGTCTCCTAAGGGGCCACACTCCGAGTCCTTGACCTGGAGGTCTAATCCACAAAACAGTGGAGCAACGTTAGGGGATACAGTTTCATGATAACCAGTGACCGACAATAGATTGATACTCCATTTATTCCGTCGGGATCCTGGAGCCAATGTGCACCATTGTTTTCTAATCAGAGTTTTCCAACCAAGTCCCCCAGATGGGTTCTTCATATTCACCAACACGGCCAGAACTTCGGACATTGAGTTTCCGTCCTCTCAACTTCGTAAACAACACCCCGACCACGAGAAAGTAGTGAATAGAACTTCAAATTACTAACATATGGATGTACGAAAGTATATTTTAAGAAAAACATTGACTGAAATGGCTTAGCAACCCACAAGGCTGACAGAATCTCTCTTTAGAAAATTACTAGTGTTTTGTACACGGTGCTTTAAGAACCTATCTCCTAGTCTCCGAAACGTCCGTGCACTTCCTCCACTAATTCGCGACAAATGAAGCATTTCTCTTTCCGTGACATTGTAAGGTAAAGCGAATGTGAACCCTTAGTTTATTAAAGATATTGTCCTATCTGTCTGACTAAATTGTTACAAGCTTCAAATAAGAACAACAAACAATTGTCTTCCGCGAATAAAACTTTTGATGGACGGAAAATAAGACACTTCAAAAAAGTTGATGTAAGTTGCTCTATCATATTGATTCTGGATTATATTCCACGCCAACTTAAATCGACAACTCGAACGAACAAAAACAACAATAACCAAGGTAACTTTGATAATAGAAAAATAAAGTTACAACGAGAAAAGGTAACATACACGTTTTTGCAGCAGTAGTGCCAAATGCTCCGAAGAAATCATTCCAACTAAAGTACCATATGAAAATCTTGATGAATTTGTGGAACCCACTACAACTGGAAATCCATGATGTAAATTATTTGTAACCCGTTCAACTAATTCACTAACACGCATAATAGGATATAGATACACGACTGGATTAGACATCAGGTCATAAGCTCTCTTAGTTATAGATAGTGAATGCGGTGTCCACGGAAGTAAAGCCATACTATTCAATCCAATATGTTCATCGTAAATCCCCTGTAACAAGTTGAAAGCCAACACAAAAACGATCCGATTAAAACAATAAAAAACAATACTTGACTACGACTACAAATCGATCAATTTATAGAATAAAAAGCTTTTCAACTTACTTCGCTTAAACAATCACCCATATATTTAGCAACAGTCAAAGTCATTAGCAAAGGTAATCCAACAATTACGTTTCCTGTTGCCTCCATTAGAATAACTGTTAAACTTAATGTCGTTCGAACAATACCACCTAATTGTGCAGCAGCTCCAATCAGTGCGAATTTACCGGGATCGGAGAAATGAACTGGATCAATAGTATGCATTAAATGTCCTACAATAATTATAGAAATGGATAAAAAGAACTACTAGTTTGTACAGTAAAATAATTAATAAAAACTAATTTAATCAGGTTGACAAATTTGATTCGAATTTGACCTTTTATTTTATATATAAATGTTCTTAACAAGTATATATGTGATCAGATTGTTCGAAAATTATTGAGCTAATATATCACATAGTTCTGATAACTTTCGTCTTTTTATTACACTACCGAAATTAATCAAAGGAACTAACTGCTTTAAATCTCTTTTTTAGTTAAGCACGGTTATGTCATCGTTGAAGCGCCGTCACTCGACCTATAAATAATGTTAAATCCATTCTCATGTTAATAGTATATGCTTGGTTGTATTATCCAAGAGTAAAACAATAAAATGATTTCATGAGTTGTTCAAAATGCAATGATTAAAGCGTTTCGCTGACACATAGCGCATTCTCAAAACGATATAGTTTTAACTTAGTATATTAGAATCTTAGGAACAGTCATGATCATTAACCTAAATCGATATGGTTTACAAGAGTACATCATATACGTATTACCTGCCCCCATACTATGGTGTGTTAACTGTTTAAACAGCATGGTTCGTTTCGGGATTTTAAATATACTTTACCTTGCTTATTACTTCCTAGTACAAAATCTTTACATATATCAAGGACACGGTGGGATATACTTTATAGGTGATGTACTGGTAGTATCAATTTCATGTATAAAGTAAAAATTTATGAAATAACCACTAACCTATGATTCGACCCCAGCCAGCGCCAATCAACAAAGATGGTATGAATAGACCAGCAGGAACAGACAAACCATATGTAATGCAGGCCAAGAAATAGTATACGAGCACAAATATGGTTAACACTGAAATACTGTATGTCATTGGAGGATCGTGAAGCAGAGTTCGGAGAGAACGTTCGGGTGTTGAAAATAACAGTGAGGAAATTGAATTAAACTCGTTGTCCGCACACATCATCTGTTTTATAAGGAAAATATAAAGGGAAAATTAATAAACCTCTTATATGATTAGTCAAGAAATTAATACGTCTAAAAATAGAATTTATTCAGTGTTAATTTGTTTACAATTTTAACTAATAACAAATATGGTAGTAATCATATTTTCTAGACTTATAAATAAACGCCAAGCGAAAACATGTAATATTGTGATATGAAATTATTACTTATAACAAAATTGTTCATGGTAGTTTGATCTGAATTTGTCAGTGCATTGTCAACGCTCAAAAACCAAGCTGTAATATAATTAATCTAGTGTTCGGGTGTGAAATAAACTTCCATCTAAGAATTAGTTTTTTATGTCTCATTAAGTCGAGTAACATCAGTTTGGCGGCAACATCGTTAGAGTGAACTCGGATGATCATATAAATGACTTTGTTGATTCTAGATTCTTAACCTGTGTTCAAGCCACAGTTAACACCGCGATAACCGTTTTTCATCCTTAGTTGGGATCATTTAGTTGGTAGTAAAATTAATCCTTGAATGAATCTTAGCTACGATTGGTCGGAACATTTTGATAAATAGTAAATGTTTATACCTCTTGCCACTTGTTTCTCACATAAATCAAACCCTCTAGTCTAACAGTATGAATGTGAATATTTTTTTAGTCAACCAGTGTCGCATTTTATCTAGTGCTTCGAGCAAAAAAGTACACTTGACACTTTGATAGATTGTTGCCCTTGGGTATGAGAATATGGAAGGAACTTTTGAACCACTAGATGGACGCGTATGCTCAGTTATTCATAGAAATCTTGAATATGGAGCATATGTGGACAGAAGGGTGTTCCGTAGTCATATCATCATCTGTAAAAGGCTGAATAAACTTAATACAGTAACTATCCTCATTATAACAAATTCTGATAAAAGAAATACGTTTGTTTAATTACCTTGTACGATAGAGGCCTTAAGACAAATATACAATCTGAACTATTTTCATAGAATGGATCTTAAAAGTAAGAATTAATAAGAGCTAATTAACAATAACTACACCTGATCATTATCATAGATCAATGTCAGGGAAATAAACCTCGATACACAAAGAGTACCTAAAGTAATTTATATTTACTTCACCTTGCATATCAAAGTGTTCAACTTCATAGTGAAATCTCTAGAACCACTACAACTGGACAAAACACTGTCATAACCAATATCAACCAATTTGTAATATAACCCAGTATTAGCAGAAGTTTTAGTACCATCTGGTTTGATATGAACTCACAGACTTAACAAATATTAAACGATTTCCACTTAACCATCACAAATAGTGAAAAATATATTAATGTGTAAGAATCAAATTTATATCAGTCGAATATCTTTAATAAAACAATAAATTAATAACTGAATCAACGAAAGTAAAACGTACTTTGAGAGGGAAAGAACTGCTGGTATATGCTAATGGACTACAATCACGAACAGCCCACATTATTGAAAAACATAAAGTGGTAGTTAACGAACTGACCAGAATGGCTTCTATAATCTTGTTATATTTTGTTGTAATGTTCCTGAAACAAAGAAAAGGAAATTATTCAACCCCAAATGTTTCCAAACATGATATACACGAAAATGTAATGTCGGATCGAACAACTAATATGAAACATTTTTATGACCACCGAACAATTTTATGTATTATTAACGGTTACTACAGTTGAAGATAGTACTTTGCTAGAAATTTCAGTTATATTGCAAAAATTGGAATTAAGTGACAAAGTCCTACTAGAAAAGGATTATCCGTTGTAACGTTGTTGTGTCTTGTGACTATGAATTTAGATAGCAGCGAATTATCGATCGGACCAAAGACGCGTAAAACACGTAAGAACGACCTAGAGTCCCGATTGGCCCTGCTTCCCTGTCTAGCCCAGCCAGTTGAGCCCAGAACGCAAGTCTCAGCCTCTGAGATATGAATCATTATATTTCAAACATACTCTGTTTATATACCAATCAAACAGACCACATCGTACCATAAAATAGAAAATAACATTGTACAATATTTGGCAGGAAAAATGACACGTGAAATAAATGTTGACCAATAGGGAAATGATACCATTTCCAAGTCCAAGGATACCATTAGACTTTACAGGATAATTTCTTGGGATATTTTTCTGAATATCCCAGCAAACGTTAAACTTATAATTCATTCTCATACTTGAACAACTTTAAGAGAAGTAATGAATTGCTTACAAATTTTTGCTTACTTTTGTCTATATCTTGTTAGGACTGAATTCGCTTTCACAAACAATGCTCCAGATAATCCACCAATTAGACCCATTAGTAAAAACATAAGAATTTCATAGGCATTGTAATCATTTAATGACTAAACCAAGAAGGCACAAAACAAAAACAGACAACATTAGTTATATAGAAAGAAAATACTACAGTATAAATGACACATGAATGTGAACAATAATTAGCCAACTACGTTAGCTTTGCCGGCGACCAGACCACGTTGAAAGCACCGGTTCTCGTCCGATCACCGCAGTTAAGCAACGTTGGGCCCGGTCAGTACTTGCATGGGTGACCGGCTGGGAATACCGGGTGTCGCCGGCTTTAAAAGCCCCCGAACGCCCTGGTACGGCCGAGAGTGGGGAGAGTCCGCTCTCCCTCTCGAAATACTCTCACACGGCCGCGCGTATACAGCCTCTGCCAGGGAAGTCCTACTCATTGCCTTCTCGTGGCGGGGGTGTTGTTTACGAAAATGAGAGGACGAAAAGCGAACGTCCGGCGCTTTAACCGGATCACAAACCAATGGTGCACATGGGCTCCAGTATCCTGCGGGAACAAATGGCGTATGAACCAATCGTTGGTCACCGGCTACCATGGGATTGCATCTCCTCACGATGCTCCACTGCCTTGTGGGTTAGACCATTAGGTCAAAGGCTCGGGGTGTGGCCCCCTAAGATAACCACCTGCTTCGGTTTGGGCACCCGGGCAGTATCACAGCCCACACACAAACAATGAACTCTATGACTACGGCAGCTACCTTTCTCGATCCGATAAACAATCAATCAATTCAAATAATTATCATTACTATTATTGTCATTATTAATACTATTATTATTATTATTATTACCATTATTATTATTATTATTATTATTATTATTATTATTATTATTATTATTATTATTATTATTTTCCACATTATTCACCCTCTTTTATACTTATACAGCGGCTCGTCTTTGGTGGAAATTCGACTGTATCTAAACGTTCTCGAGTCACTGTTCGGTTGAAAATTGTATGTTACCACCGACTACGAGAACTGAAGCAGTTTTTCTGAAACCACGTGCACCATTCAAACTGGCTGCCTTCAACGTTCGCACACTAGTGCAGGTCGGACAACAGATAGGGCTGGCTATGTCTTTGGAAAGTCTCAATATTGATGTTTGTTGTCTATCCGAGACCCGTATTCAAGACTCTGGCGAAGTACTACAAATTCGATCTCCATCTGTCGCTTCGAAAAGCTTGTTTTACGTGCGCTTATCCGGGGACCCTGTGGCATCTTCGTCTGGTCTTGCTGGCGTTGGTGTCGCACTAAGCGCTAGAGCTGAGGCAGCACTAGTCGATTGGATCCCCATTAACAGTCGGTTATGTGCTGTTAGATTAGAAAGTTCCATCAAAGTGAGAAGAAATCGGCGTGAGAAACGATGTCTTTTCGTCATCTCCGCCTATGCCCCGACAGATTGCAGCCCGGATGCAATCAAGGATGAGTTTTACCACCAGCTGTCTGTTCTTCTCCAGAAAGTGCGCTCGACAGATATTGTAGTACTAGCCGGAGACTTGAATGCGCAGGTCGGGCGTCTAGGCACAGAAGAGAGTCGTTTAGGTGGCCGATGGGGACTCGTTGGTCGCAGGTCAGATAACGGGGACCGTCTACTGCAACTTTGCACAGACCACACGCTGTTTCTGGCTAGCACTAACTTTCGGTACAGTCATCGCCGATGTGCCACCTGGCGTCCTCCCTCTGCATCCCAAGCCTGGACTCAGATTGATCACATCGCGATCAGCTACTGCTGGCGTGGTTGTGTAAAAGACTGCCGCTCCTTTTGGAGTACCTATCTGGACTCTGACCATGCCTTGGTCTGCGCCAATCTTGCCTTACTTTTCAGTGGACAACGAAGTGACCGCCATCAAAGGATTGATATTAGCAAGCTGGTTGCGACCTCTGTTGCAAATAAGTATCGAACCGAGATAGCCTCTAGGCTAGCTACCACTCCACCGAAAAGTATAGATGAGCATTGGTTGCAATTGCATGACGCCATGAAAATGGCAGGAACAGTCAGTTGTGGGTTTGCGAAACGTCCCGCTTTTAAGCACTGGGTTTCTTCTGGTTCCTTACAACTTATTGAAGCCCGTCGGTCGACTCCGGGTGACCGTGAGTTTGACCATAAACGAAGGATGTTACGTAAGGAATTTGGGCAAAGCTTGCGTAAGGACCGAGAAGCCTGGTGGTCGGAGCGTGCTAATGAGATGGAAGCAGCAGCTGCATCTGGTAACTACCGGAAGCTCTTCCAGCTCATCCGAGCCACTGGCAGCAAGAAGTCTGGTGTGAGTGAAACAATCTGCGAGGATGATGGGATGCCAATCACTAACATCCATCGACGTCTTGGACGATGGGCAGAATTTTTCGAAGGGCAGTTCAACTGGCCTGCTGCTCCGGCAACATCGGTCAGACTGTCCTGCCCTCCATGGCCGGTGACGACTGATCCACCAAACAAGGAGGAAGTCCGCAAGGAACTCCAACTCTTGAAGCGTTACAAATCACCTGGCCCAGATGACTTACCTCCGGCTCTTTTTAAAGATGGTGGTGACTTTTTGACTAAGGAATTGACGACGTTGTTTACAAAGGTTTGGGAATTAGAGAGTGTACCAACGTCATGGAATGAATCGATAGTTGTCCCTATCTTTAAAAAGGGTTCACGTCGTTCCTGCAACAACTATCGGGGGATAAGTCTACTTCCGATTGCGTCCAAGCTATTGGCTTCCGTCATACTTCGTAGGTTGTTCAAAACCCGAGAAAGATTGACTCGCGAGGAGCAGGCTGGGTTTCGTTCTGGTCGAGGATGTATTGATCATATCTTCACCCTCCGCCAAATGTTAGAACATCGCCATACTTATCAAAGGCCAACAATCGTAGTGTTTCTTGACATCAGGGCTGCCTTCGATTCGTTGGACAGGACTGTTCTCTGGGATTGTCTATTGAAGAAGGGTGTGCCTGAGAAGTTTATTAACATCCTAAAAGCCCTATATAAAAACACCTCAGGCAGAGTGAGGGCATACAACCACCTCTCTCCATTGTTCTATACGAGTAGTGGGGTTAGGCAGGGTTGCCCAATCTCACCATTCCTCTTCAACTTTGCCATCGATGACATTCTGGAAACAGCTCTGATGGATGCAAGTAATGGTAGTGTGGATCTGTTGCCTGGAGAAAGACTTCTCGACCTTGAGTATGCGGATGATATTGTCTTACTGTGCGATAATGCCCAAGGCATGCAATCCGCACTTAATCAGTTGGCAATCAGTGTCCGTAGGTATGGTATGTGCTTTGCACCTTCGAAGTGCAAAGTACTTCTACAAGACTGGCAGGATTCCAATCCTGTACTCACCCTGGATGGTGAGCAGATAGAAGTAGTCGAGAAGTTCGTGTATCTGGGTAGCTGCATAAGTGCTGGTGGGGGTGTGAGTGATGAGATCAATGCACGTATAGTGAAAGCTAGAGCGGCTTATGCCAATGTGGGCCACCTTTGGCGCCTTCGTGATGTCAGTTTGGCTGTAAAAGGTCGGATCTACAACGCGTCGGTGAGAGCAGTTCTGCTCTATGGTTGTGAAACCTGGCCTCTCCGAGTTGAGGACGTTAGACGACTCTCTGTGTTCGATCATCACTGTCTCCGAAGGATTGCTGACATTCAGTGGCAACACCATGTTAGTAATGCAGAGGTTCGGCATCGTGTGTTCGAGCACAGAGATTGGTGTCACCATCTTGAAACACCGACTTCGGTGGCTTGGACATGTTCTACGAATGTCGTCCCAGAGAATTCCACGTCGTGCATTATTTGCCGACTCTGGGACTGGTTGGAAGAAGCGGAGAGGTGGTCAGTATATGACATGGTGTCGTGGTATGAAAGAAAGCTGCAAAGGACTGGCTTCTGTCGGTCCTTCACGACTCCCTGGTTGGGGTCTGAGAGATGGTGCTACACAGTGGCTAGAGACGTTATCAGTTATGGCTCAGAATAGAAGCCAGTGGCGATCCTGCTGTAACCTTCTTTTACTTTCTTCATAAAAAGTGGTTGTGTCTCCCTTACTTGAAAGATTTCTTCTGATTGTACCTTTCCGTTCCATCGTTACGACCGCACTACCTTTCACCAATCTCTTTGTTATCGTTCTCTTTTTCTTTTGTGCTCCTTATTTTTTTTTCTTTCTTTTCTCTCTTCGAATTTTCATTGTTTTGTGTGGCGCATATATATTGGCGCTCTCTTGTACCAATATTTATGTGCTCAAATAAAATAAATAAATAAATAGCTTTGAACCTTTAGAAACATAACATGTGACGGCTCGGATTCTAGACCCGAAAGCCAATACATAGAACAGTTTTTGGACAAGACGAAATGATTGATAATAAACGATAAATCTATACTATAGTGGATCACTTCTATTATGATGAGCGAAACAGGTATTCAATTTGAAAAATATTTCATGGAGTGCATTGACCATTAGATTTAAAACTTAGAATTGGTTAGTAAATTTTTTAGGCAATAAGACAGTGAATACAAGTGAAAACATAACAATGATAACATTTTGCTTGATATGATCAGAAAGTCAGGCAAACAGACAAGTAATGATTGTTACGCGGTATATATCATAAATAAATGTGATTATTAAGTAAATCAAGGGATATAACTTACTTCAAAGGTACCGAAGCTTACAAGACCACCAGGAGTAAATTTGAACACATGGGTACGAGTCAGTGATTTGAACAGAGCCAAAGTAAACATCGAAACCATTGATGCGAAGAGCTACAAGGGCAAATTTTTATTGGTACAATGCTATTACGAACTTGCAATAAAATGCCTAATCAACCTACATAAACTAGCACGAAATATACATCCTAACACTAGGAGGGTGTCCAAAAAAATCATAATACTCAACACCATTTTACGATTCATTTCTTTCTAAGCGACAGATTAAAGTCAGATATGCCTTTATATGCGACGCTATATATTTATGTAGTGCCATTGGACACATTCTTATAGTATCAGGAAAAGTTATTACCTATTCGAATATTAAATCTTCAGCTTTATATAACGCATGAAATGTATCTCACCAATTAACATGTAAGATAGTAAATGCGAGCTTTTATGAAAGCTTTTGTCATTTAGAAATTCAGCCTGAAACGTGTTTGTGGTAACTTAACCTGGTAACTACTAACATTTTAAAGTTCACTTTGCAGAATAAACAATGGCCCGATTGTTCGCAATTTCAGATAAACTCCATAAAATCAGACTTGAACACTTTAGTTTGTATCTTTTGTATACTGGGATGGTCGACAACTCAAACTGATCAGATGGAAGTATCCCCAACTTCAAATGTATCCCGTAGCTAACATAACGGGTAATGCAGGACCAACATCTTAAAATAACATCAGAATTAAAACCAGGTCCTTCTGCCCTAACTCTCGCCAAGTTGTTTATTACTTTAATTCACAAATTAACATGATATTGCTGAATTTACTATATCTTTTGCTTATTTTTCACTAGCGCTCACGCTCATTTTGTAGACCTTTGTAAAATTACTCTTATTTCTACTCATGTCTCAAGCTTGTTCGAATGAACCTCAGTGGTCTGTTGTCTGATTTGATATGAGAGATCTGGGAGCACGAACAATCAATTTGCAGTACGGTTATATAAGACATGAGACATCTTGTGAGCCTGTATCTTTAGTGTTAGCAGTCGACATGAAGTTAGACAAATGTTTAAAAGTGAAAGGTAGGCGAATTCAAGCAACGAGGAAGACAACTGTTGTTAAATCGGGGTGTTGTATCCTAGTGAAGATTAAACTACGAGTAACTTCCGAAAACTATTGATGGACTAATATTATATACATACTTATTGTATAACTATTCAGTAGCTAGACTGTTTATACATATATTCCTCTTATTATAAGCTTCATTTCGACCTATAAATGATTATTGTACGAATTACTGTTCTTAAGTTATGTTCAGTTTATTGACTACTGTCTACCACATTCATAGCCATTTTTTGGTTTGATTTTGTATAAATTTCATTTCCCATTTTATGGTGTAATGCGGTCTGTTCGGGTGGTATATAAACCAAGTATGTTTGAAATAAATGATTCGTATAGTGTGAGCTGTTATTGATGTTTTAGACTCAAGTGGATGGGTTAGGCGAACAAAGGACCAATAAGGACGCTAGGCCGCTCATACCGATCGAACGTCATTGGTTTAACACAATACTAAGTCGTATTTTCATTGTCGGATAAATCACGTGGTAACTAGCCGGCCTTAAAATCACAATACGGGGTGCTAGAGATTTATAGGCGACATAACTCCGGTGATGAATATCCCCTCTAAGAAACCTGATGATATTGGACTGATTGTTTTACAGGTCTGAGATCAAAGTACAGTAGTCTGAGTCAGGTAGCACGCCACCGTATAAAAGTTTACTTTTCAGTATTACGGTACGACATGAAAAGTGTCAATCTTCACTGAAAAACACCGAATAAAGATAATTATAAGAATGTTAAACAAGATCTAAAGGTTTATTTTTGTGCCAGTGATGCAATCAGACCTGTTTTCGTGAAAGTCAAGAATGTGGTTCCAAATGATGAGCACAAAACGTGTGTACGAATTTAAATGTGATGATTGTCGTGCTGCACGTCCGGATAGCTAATTAAACAACAAAGTGGACATAGACAATGTTTAGAAAATACTTTTAAATTCTTAGAAGATTACAGAACGCTTGGGAACAAATCAACGATAACAGTATATTCAATAGTAAAATGGCGTCAAGTAGACTTCGATCCAACCAAAATTATTTGGTAGGGTTTGTTGAGAAAAAAATATTAATACATGAAGCCCTACACATATTAGCGAACCCTAGGTTGAATAATGTGGATTGACGTTAGCTTCATGACGGTAACGGTTGATCAATAAGTGAAAATATGTTTTCGACACCTGACTTGATTTAACCTCTAGTAACATGGGAATTGAGAGGACAACCTCGTTTGTTTAAATGCTTGTTTTATTTGAATTTGTGTCCAGTTATTTGACATTAACTTGACAACACAAAATCCGATTACTTTTGAACTAACACTGACAAGCTATTTTTCTTAAATGTCCTTTGAGTTTTGTGATGAACAGAACATTGATATGACTACAGCCGTGAACAAAGATTTTTTGTTCATTGGGTTTAAATAACGAAATACAGTAATATGGGCTAACATGTGGCAAATTTTGAACATACTTGCATCGAATGAGTCACACTTTAGACACATACAAAACCAACACATAGACGTGATAGGATGTGTTAAATACAGGACCATTTTCGAATCTATCTACCTAAAATAATGAACTTTACTATTTCTCTGAAGAATAGCCTAGTGTCACATAAAACGTTGAGACAATTCGAAGCGTAACCGCTGCAATTATTACAAACATGACTTTAGGTTAAATGTTCATCTACAATATCTGATGGAAAACCAAATGACGAACAGACAGTTCAACACAAACAAAACTTGGAGGTAGAAAAACATGACAAAAACGAACAATAACTTACTATGGTCCATGTTAATCTTTGATAAACAAAACTAGCGCCTTCTTCAAGGGCAAATAACAGACCCCCTACGGGTGCTCCGAAAGCAGCTGCAACCCCAGCAGCCGCACCAGCACTGACAAAATCACGTTTTTCTTGGTCATTCCTAAAAATCTTCAAGCAACCCAAGGAATATTTTAAAAACCGTAATCGCCCTTGTGATAATCCTGCAGCAATCACCGAGCCAATATGTATCATAGGTCCCTCTTTTCCAACAGCCAAACCTCCGGACACCGCCAAAATAACACCAACACCCTTTACGATCATAGTGAGGCATCGCATTACACGAGGAACATTAAGACCATTAAGATAACATTTAATTTGCGGGATTCCGCTTCCAGAAGCAACTGGCTACAAAAATATTTGGTCATAAACTTGACATACAGCTAAAAAGACGACTAGTGTAGCTGCTATACCTGTGAGGAAAGAATTGACTGCACACCACAAAAATCCTGGAACAGAGATCCACAGAGAATGTGGGTAACGACTGATAACTACGCTGGTTAAGGAAAGAAGACAATTTGTTGAAAAGTCACCTGAGCCTCTATGATGATTATTAAAAGGATACGCCATGAAACTGATCTATACTTATACTTCGAGATGTTTTCAATAGCGTAATCAATTACGCAGGCAGAAAGTCCAGTAAACACGCCTATGAAGAATAGTACTGAATGCCTAAGCGAGGCTCCTCTAAAGATGCTTCCCTGTAAAGTGTAATTAACTGTATTCTATGTTACATAAGACGCCCTTCGTACTCCTTCGTCAGTGAAAATTTTATTCTGAACAGGATCATAGTCAAAACCCTTAGAGGCAAATGTTTCGTAGAGTTAAACCTACTTCGATGCCTTGGTCCAGTAAGATATCAGGATGTAAGTCGTCATTAGTGAAAGACAGCACGCCTGTAGAGCTGCGTCGTGATGTTTGGTTTCTACGAAAGGCTTGCGTATCCTAGAGCCGAAAATACTTCATTCGTTATTCTAGGTCATATATAATACCTCCACATCGCTAGAAATGCCTAACCGAAAATTGTAGGACAAGTTTTGGTTCACATCACTCATTTTTTGAGCATTCGCACCAGGAGCAACATCATGCCTCGACATTGACAAGAACCGTAATCATAAGGAGCGCTTTCCCTTGCCAAGGTTGTCTGAAAGTACGAGACTCACAGTTCAAACTCTAATTTTTAGTTACACACGTAAGTAGTTCCTCGAAATTTAGTTTTCTGAGAAACCTCTGATTTCCTTGTTGAATAGAACTTGCCGTGTTACAAGGTTTATAAAGGGTACGAAAGGTTTGGTTACAATCTTTTTCGGACACTACTAATGCTACAAGTACAGTGTAGTAGATAAAATTCTGAGGTCTAATATTAATTAATAAGACTTCATCGCATTTCGTTACTTTGAGTTGCGTTACCAATGTGAGTGTTCGAAAAATGGTTCAAATGGTTGCGGACGAAAGAGAAGAAGCATTCGCTAAACAGACTTCCGTACATAGAAACAGTGGATCGTTGATGGGGTAAGGTGCGGACCTAGTTATGTTTAACAGGCTGAAGAGAAGTTGTAACAGTAAATAAATCCCAAAAATAAATAGGCTTGTTTGTCTTCAACATTTGATGCTGACCACACTAGTTTTAACAAATCCTTCTAGCTGAAGGTGCTCGCCAGCGCATCCGCACCATATAGCGAGTGGGTACATCGTGCTACGCATCTCCTATGGACGGTAGTCAGTTTAGATTTAACGCTTTCCGATAAATAAATAGCCTTTCAACTACATCTTTGAAACCTTTCATTTCTGACTTTTAGTTTGACTAAGATGGCACATGTATTCAGTGTTTGACAACGCTTTAACCAGTAACACCTTCTGATATAACTCGTACCCACCAAGAGAAATCAAAAGACAGAATCGAGGAGATCAGAATTTGTATTTGGCGATTGCCAATATATTGGAATTGTCTGATCTAGTCTGGTTAGCGATTACAGTAGATGTTGAGCACGGCGTTCCCACACGTGATCTGTGTGCGGATGCATGACTGATCGCCTTCAGCTAGGTGAGTCCATTAAAACATGTGGTCAGCATCCAATGTCGTAAACTTATAAGGCTATTTATTTTGGGGATTTATTTACCGCTACAAGGGTTTTACTTCTAAGAGTGTTGACTGACTCCGAATACCTGTGGCATTTTAAAACTGTTAGTAAATGATCATGATATCCTGCCCTTAATCCTTAAAAATATAACGTTTCCTCCTCAAATGGTTCAATCGGTTGTGGACGGGATATAAGAAGCTTTCGCCTGACGGCCTTCCAATTTTAGTAGCAATGGATCACCCAGGTATATTAACGATAAAGATATCGGTAATTTGTAGTAAGATAGCAGCTTTAATTCTTAAGAATATGTCAAATTTTCTCTTAAACGATTCACATAAAGTCGCTTGGACTAGCCCAGCCGGCAGTGAATTTCCGCGTTTGATAACTCTTAAGGAGAAGACTTTGTATCTACAATCCGTTCTGCTGAGTAATGTCCTCAGTTTCTGAGTGTTGATCCCTACGTTTGTTTGGGAGCTAAACTTATGTATATGTTTAAGGGAATGTCCAGAAGTGTTAAAGATGCTGTAAGCCATTAGAAATTCACCTCTAAGACGCCTGTACTGTTATGGGTACAGGTTTGGTGATTGAATGCGCTCTTCATAAGGCTTTAATATGAGTCATCGAACTGATTTCGTGGCTCGCCGTCGGACACGTTCAAAAGTGTCCTAATCTTTGTGGGGTGAAGTAATACAATGTTTCCGTACTATAAATAAAACTATCAAAGATTAGGTGGGAATTCTTTCGTTCAAATTGGAAAAAATGTGATCCAATGCTACTAGAGGAAGGTTTGCTGGAAAGCATTTTTGAGGCAGTTAGCATAAGACTTCAGATAGATGGGTATCAACGCACCAAGATCTTTTTAAGCTTGAGATACCACTAGGAGGGAGTTGCCTAAGTTGCAGTTGTAGTCTGCAACATGTCTCAGATGGACTACTTTACTCTATGAAGTGTTAAAGTTAAGTCCGTTGTAATCTGCCCACCCTTCAAGACGAGTCAGATCTTCCTGAACTGTTAGTCCACCCTCATGCTTCAACGATTCTCTCAACAGCGAAAACTAATAAGTTAGATGATACCTGTTATGAAAGATCTTTCACATAACTCAAGAAAAAAGGCGTCCTAATGCTGAACATTGGTGGTCCCATTAAGAAATTCCATAGCATGAGAGAAAGTTATAATTACACCAATCATAAAATATCCTCGTATCCTGGAGTGTCAATTTTAATACTATGTATATGGTAGTCCGACTGAATTCCAAGGATTTGAAGCTTCGTGCAGGAATCGATAAGTTTTCTTCTCTTAACATCAACTAGTAGGTTGTAGAAGCTTAGAAAATCTGCACCTAATATAGGATGGTGGACATCAGCAACAATGAACACCCAGGTTAAATGACGTCTAATTCCACAGTCTAATGTTGGAGATTGTTCGCCAAATGTCTTTATTTCAGTTTTATTAGCTGCCCTTAGAGTATATTTTCCACTCTTAGCAATAGGTTTATTGGCTAAGGTAACTGGGATGACACTGACTTCCGCTCCAGTATCTACTAAGAGTTTGTGCCCTGAAGTTTTATCAAGAACATGGAAAAGGCGAGTAGGCGGATGACCAGAAACATTTGTCGCTATCATGGTCTGGTTGACACGTTTTGGTGAGGAAAATGACTTAAAAAATTTACAAGACGTAACACATTCCCTGGCTCTGTCACCATATTTTCTATGGTACCAACATATGTGGTCGTCATTTTCATTTCCTTTTGAAGTGCTTCGATTCTTACTCTCCCGAGAACTGGAGCGAGGCCTTCGAGATGTGTAATTGGGAATTAATGATTGTAATGCATCTAGTTTATTTTCGAGACTGGCAACGGTTCGTTCGTGGTGCGCTCGTAGTTCACCTAACTCAGCTGTTAACGTGGTTTTATTTTGTTTTCCTATTAGTTTTTCTCTTTAATTTAACACTTAATAGCGATACATAATTCGCCACTGATAGGGTTCTATCAACTTGACACCTTATTTAGGAACTCAACGTTATAAATTAATCTTGCTAGTTTTCACGCTATCTCTATCACCAATTAACGTTAATATATTTACTCTTAACTAATACTGGGTCTTATCCTATCATAAAACTTTACACGTTCACTAAGTTAAATTACAACTATCGCCGTCCACCTAATTAAACTTTGTATTTACATTACTTCCGATAATTTCCAGGCCACCTAAAAAACATATAATCTCTCCTGATGCCTATAGCACCTGAAAAAGATCTAAATCAGTCACTAAAACGAATAATATGAAACCTTATAAACACACTGATCAGTCTGCATCCTACTCTGATCTTCCCTCAGCCACAGTCATGTTTGACACAACGAAAGTGTTTTATTAGAAGGGTGTGTATATAGAGAGTGAAGTGTTAAGAATACTAATGACTTTACCTTTTGTTTTCTAATTTTTTTTCCTTTTTTTGTCCATCCGATGCCAGCCACACAATCGTAGTGTAAATGTCCGAGTTAGCATGTTATAGGTTGTCTTAGTAGAATAGCTAATCCAGCACAAAATTGGAAACATGAGTCTGAGTGGTGAGCGTAGGAAGACAATCTATACCACAGATTGATTGACTCATTCCCACTCATAAAGAGCCTGATGCATACAAAATGTTCTGTCCCCACAAACACGGGTGGATTGAAGTTATCGCCCTCACCATCAATGCTTGCTGGTCATTGACTTCACCCTCCCTCCTTTTGTGATGTTAGGCTCATTTTAGGCTTCTTTTTGTATATATGTCATACCTCACACAATCCTCTGTTTCACAACCTTATGGAAAGCATTATTTCTATAAGTACCATTTTACGCATCGATGCAGTGCTTCTGTTGACTGTAGTATAAAGTATTGTTTACCAGTCAGAGTATAAGCGTTAAGAAGGGTATCTTGTTGGATAGTTGTTTATTTAAGCAGACGGAAAAAGTATAGAAGTATATGAGTTGTTGATAAGGGAATGAGTGGAGAAATAATATTAATTGCTAGTCAACATAGTGTACAGAAGAGTAAAAAGTTAATACAGAATAAACAGGAAGGAACTCACAGTAACTTGGTGCTGATGTTATTTTCTGTTGTCCTAACCAGTTGATTGGTAACAGGCTCCATAGATGCAAGACCACTGGTAGTAGGCAGCCGATTGTGCGGTCCTCTTGACTTTTTAGTGTGGTAGTGTGTGTCCCTTATCGACCGAGCTTAATTTAACAGTAATGATAGGTCCAGTGAGTTACCTGTCTACTTCAGGTGAAGAAATAGGGTGGAAAAAGTAATTAATACAACTGCAAAGTAGGAAAAATTAGGCAAACTGAACTTGAAGTCCATTTTGATCTAGACATGGAGAGAGCCTATGATGTGTGAGTGGGGCGCAGATGTGTTCGCACGTGCAAGATCAGTGCAAGTGAAGGCTTGATCAAGCAGTTTTACAAACGTATGTAATTCATCTACCATGCGAGTTTCGGAGGGAAGACTGTTCCATATTATTGCATACATGATGAGGAAGAAGTTTTCCCAAGTTTTTGATCTGTATTTCTCAACTTTGACCGTAGATACTTTGTTTCGAAGTCCGTATTCATGTGAATCTCGGGCAAGAATTATCTTACATGTTGAATAAGTAAGGTTTTTGAGTAGTTTGAAGTAGAGAATCAGATTAGACCTAAGCCTTCTCTTCCAAAGATGTGCTATTCCTAAGATTTAGCACCGAGAACTGTAGTGAATGGACGAGTAAGTTTTAAGTATTTTGCGGGTGAAGTCTCGTTGTACTCCTTCCACCTTTAGTATATCAGATAGGCGTAGGTTGGAAAATAAGAACGAGCAGTATTCAACGATAGGTCTTACACAAACTTTAAATAAGGATTTTCGATTCATTTTGATAGAAATTACGGAGAATGAAGCCAAGCAATTTCCGCATTTTGGATGCTTTGGTTGAGATGTGTTCAGAGAAATTAAGACTGTGTGAGTAATGTTCCCCTAGATCAGTTACTGTTGCCAGTCTGGTCAGTGTGTAATTGCTAAGTGCTAGTTTCGTTTTAAGAGATGTGTCTCCTATACATAACCAGCCGCATTTCTCTGTGTTGATCTCTAACCTCCAGCGTTTGCACCAGTCGTCTACCATGTTGAGTTCATGTTGAATTGTTTGCATAGTACTGCGTAAATTGCAAATGTCAGTTTTATAGATGACTTTTAAGTCATCGGCATTGAGGTAGATCTTACCTGTGCTAAAACACTTGCATATATTGTTGATGTAGATTATAAAGAGCAATGGACCCAAGACACTACCCTGCACAACACAATTGGTTATTGGTCGAGGTGTAGATGTTTTAGAGTTAATCTTGATTATTTGTTATTTGTTTGTAAGAGGACTTGACCTATTGCAAAAAATGAGATTTTTAATCCCAACTGACTTAAGTCTGTTGGTTAGAAGATTATGAGATACTTTATCAAAGGATTTCTTAACATCGAAGTATAGTATAAAAGCTAGTTTCTTCTGGTCACGTATACGAGTAACATCGTTAAAGAAGTCTATCAGACATGTGCCGTGAGTTATAATAAACAATGTCCATAAAAGTAACTTGAGGCTGCCGCAGATAAAGATTTAGTGCCTTATGGACTGTTGGTCAGTTCATTACGTGAACGAAGAAACTTTAAGGGCATTACATTCGACATTTGTTAGGCCGCGTTTGCTGCGTAAAACTAAAGCAATGAGTGTTTTTGAGCATGAAGCGGGTATACAATAACTAATCTGACGGCAAGAAATCGGAACGATGCAATATCTTGTTGGCCCACCTAATAAATACAGACTGAAATGCCTCAAAGTATCAGATGAGCACGAATGAACATACTGTATTTGGAATGAGAAATCAGGCAGTCTCTAACTACAAAGGAATGGTTAGTTCATATAAACACTACAGACTTTCAAGCTATAAACAACCAGTCCCCAGGCTACTAACTTAAAAGTTACGAATTCTAGCATCTCCAATGTACTGAGACAAGAACATTCACTCAAATATTATGTTCAAACTCCAAATAAATGTTGAGTTCATTAGGGTTTGTTCAGTTGTGTTGCCATACTACTCCCGTCAAACACTGAGGGGTACCTGAAATTTTGTCATAGCACTAAGACACAGGTGCAAAAATATCATTTTAACCATTTTAACTGCCATGGGAGTTAAAAAGCCTTCATTGAGAAGAACTCTTGGTGAAAACCGAGATGCTTCGAAAGCTTCGATGCCGATGCCCTTTCTAACAATTAGAGCAACAATTTTTATAGGTACATGGAACGTCCGGACAATGTGGGAGACCGGGTAGACCAGTCAAATAGCAACGAAAATGAGGAGATTCAACTTGGCTGTACTGTGAATCAGAGAAACTCATTGAACCCTAGCTGGACAACAAAGGCTAAGTACGTGAAAGATGCTGCTATACTCCGGTCACGAAGAGGAAAATGCTCCACACACCCAGAAAGTTGTTCTAATGCTGTCAAATTGGCACGAAATGCACTTGTAGGATGAGAATCTCACGAATCCAGAGTCATCTAAACATCATTAAAAACGAAGAAGGAGGGGATCACAATGGATATTATCCAATGTTATGCACCCACCAATGATAGCAACGACGATATTATAGATCAATTCTACGATCGGCTGTAATCAGCCATAGAAAAGTGCCCAAGAAAGGACCTCACCATTCTGATGGGAGATCTAAACGCTAAAGTCAGAATATACAACACCGAATATGAAGATATCATAAGACAACATGGACCAGGAGAGAGAAACAAGCAAGTGAAGAAAAGCATTAAAGCTGACAAGCTAAATACGTGGAACAACTAGCAACGACGGCGGAAAAAGCTGAAACAGAAGGAAATTTGAAACAGCTTCACGATACAACGAAGAGACTAGCAGGGAAATATAGTAAATCAAAGAGGCCGGTCAAAGACAAAGAAGGCAGGCCAATCACTGAAATTCAATAACAGCGGAACGGATGGGTAGAATAATTCGAAGAAATCCTGAATAGGCCGGCTCCAATGAATCCACCGGACATCGAAGCAGCACACACAGATCTTCCTATAGATGTTAATCCATCAACGAAGGAAGAAATCAGAATGGCCGGTCATCAGACGAATCAAGAGCGAGAAAGCAGCGGGACCAGACAATATACCAGCTGAAGGACTGAAGTCAGACATCGGAGTAACTACAAACATGCTTTATCTTCTATTCAAAAAGATTTGGGAGGAGGAACACGTGATGATGGACTGGAAAGAAGGACACATCATCAAGATTCCAAAGAAAGAAGATCTGAGCAAATGTGAAAACTACGGAGATATCACATCCCTGTTAGTATCAGGGAAAGTCTTTAACAGAGTGCTGCTGAACAGGATGATCAACAAGCTGGATTTCGTAAGGATCGGTCGTGCACAGACCAAATTGCGACACTGTGGATTATCGTCGAACAATCAGTTGATTGGAACTCGTCACTTTACATCAACTTCATTGACTACGCAAAGGCATTCGACAGTGTAGATTGGAGAACATGATGGAAACTTCTTCAACACTACGGAGTTCCTGAGAAGATTGTCAACATTATCCGGAACTCATAAGGCTGTTTACTCTCTCCTTCTTTCTTTTGGTGGTCGACTGGACTATGAAGACCTCGACATCTGAGGGAAATCAGGGCATACAATGAACAGCTCAGAACCAATTAGACGATTTGGAATTCGCAGATGACCCAGCCCTCCTATCGTATACACATGAACAAATGCAGACAAAGACAGCCAGTGTGGCAGCAGTCTCTGCATCAGTAAGCCTCAGCATACACAAAGGGAAAACCAAGGTTCTCAAATTCAAAGCGGAGAACAGCAATCCAATCACTCTTGATGGCGAAACTCTGGAAAATGTGGAATCCTTCACATACCTGGGAAGCATCATCGACGAACAAGGAGATTCAGATGCAAACGTAAAGGCAAAGATTGGCAATTGAAGAACATACGGAACTCAAAACAACTTTTAATCAATATCAAAGTGAGAATCTTCAATACCAACGTCAAGGCAGTTCTACTGTAAGGAGTTGAAACTTGGAGAACTACAACAACCATCATCAAGAAGGTGCAAGTATTTACAAATTGTTGTCTACGCAAGATACTCAACATCCATTGGCCAGATACTATGATCAACAGTCTTCTCTGAGAGAGATCAAAACAGCTTTCAGCTTAAGAGGAAATTAGGACAAGATGATGGAAATGGATAAGCCATACGTTACGCCAATCGTCAATCTGCATCATGAGGCAAGACCTAACGTTGAATCCTGAAGAGAAGCAAAAAGGAGGAAGATCAAGGAACACAGTACGTCAGGAAATCGAAGCAGATATGAAAAGGATGAATAGGAATAGGAAGAAACTGGAAAGGTTTGCCCAGGACAGGGATGGATGAAGAATGCTGGTGAGCGGCCTATGCTCCTTTAAGAGAAGTAACAGGCGTAAGTAGATAAGTAAGCTGCAAACAGCCTGCTATTCTAAACTTCGGATCACATGGCCATGAAGGCTGACAATGACAGGTGGAGTAGTAAATAAAAGTTTACGATTTCGGCTACACTACAAGATCAACTGGGCCAGAACTTTCTCTTAATGATGTAACAAAATATAGAGTATCCTGATCATTATCATCGAAAATAATAAATAAGTGATCTGTCCTGCTTATTTCTATTGCTTCCTGGAATAAAAATCTAGAAAGACACATAGGTTTTAAAATTTACTACCTGGTGGCGAAACGCGTGTATACATTACAAACATGTGCGCTACTGTTCGTGATGTGCCTGAAGTGAAGGAATGCTTTGTCTTTACTGAGTTCAGACATTATGATCAGGTTATGAAGTTGATGTCAAATATGAAGTTGGAACTGTCAGATTTTCGCAAGAGAGAGAACTTGGAGGATACACTTGTCCGTATGTATTTTACATTCCCTTGGTTGATAGATAGAAATATTCAACTATTACCAGGAGCAGCCACATCTGCTTGATCCTTATCTTGGAAAAATGATATCAGCTTGCCTAGATGTTGTGCACTGTTCTCGCTCAGAGCCTGAAGTTTTTCACTTTGCTTTCAGGATCTTATATCTAATGACAAAAACCCGAGGTTACAAGGCCATTATCCGTTTGATGCCGCATACGGTAGATGATATTGAACCAACTTTAAGTCTTCTCATGGAGCAGGATATAAATGATTCAAAGGTACTATTTGCTTGTTTCCAATACCTAAATCCATCCCTAGAACTGGGAGACGCGCTATGTTCTTATCCTTTGGTTATCAATCTTGGTAATGGTCCCTTTCAACTTGGAAAATCTTGACTGTTTTGGAAAGAAACCTATAATTGAGCGTGTAATTGATTTAGCCAAGCTCTACCTTTTTCAGGATGAGCGTATTCAAGAAGCAGCTGCTTTCCTTCTTGCGCATACTGTTACCCGGCCAGATGCACTTCATGCCCAGCTACCATCAGTAATTTCGTTTGCAATTAAAAATCTAGGCTTTAATGATGGTAAGTGTGAATTCTTTGGATTTTTATTAAACAGTGGTATAGATTGACTGAAACCTATTAATCTGTTTATCGAAACACTCCAATCGTTACGTTTGTATTTCCCTGTATGTTTGTATCATCACGACTTTTTTAAAGCTAAATTTGATCACTGGGACGTACATTGTGCGCGAATTTTCTATTTTCGCTATTGTGCAGCAAAGATTCATCCCTCGTTGGCTACTAATTCCACAATATCATAGAATTAAACCACCCTTTTTCGTTTGGGCAGTCGATTATTATCACTAACCCTCGCATCTGATGTAGCTGAAGTCAAGCACATAAATTCGTACATAGTTAATAAGTTCAGTATCCTATGTATCTATGAGTAAGCGATAAGTAAACTGAAGATGGTAGTATATTAAAGATTTTTGCAGAATATTTCTGGGTAACTTTAAATATCGAAAGCTTTCATGTTACATACTGGCTATTATCTTTCAGTGTCAGTCAGTCAGTCAGCTACAACGTAGGACCAGGCACATATGTGCATCGGTCCAGGTTGCCATACCGCATCAACACAGCAAGATGAACACCAGATTCATAACAGTGGTTAGGTAAAAGGTGGTAATATATAAGAGAAAGATTGTATATAGAGATATAGTACAAGCAGAAAGAATTGGTTCGTAGAAAGAAAGATATGAAACGATTTTAATCTCATAGTTTAAGGGAAGACAGGGAGTGTATACACCGACGCCATTGTGATCGATTCTGAGCCATGTCACCAAGAGTCTCCAACCATTGGTTACGATAGTCACGCGGACCCCAACCAAGTAGTCTGCATCTACCAACATGGCTCAGACTAGAAGTTAGTGACTTCAAACACTGATGCCACGTTTTGGTTTGACCGCCCCTAACTTTCTTCCAACCATTTCCAATACCGGATAGCATTGCACGTCGTGGTAATCGGTGTTCAGGCATACGTAACACGTGGCCCAACCATCTCAGTCGATGAAGATTCATAACCTCATCAACTGATTTACCATCCTTTCCTAATACCCTGCGTCTAACCTCACTATTACTTACCCGGTTATCCCAGCAGACGCCAACAATATTTCTTAGGCATCTGTGGTCAAATACTAATAGCTTACGAGTGTCTTCTACTCTTAATGGCCATGTTTCGCTGCCGTAAATTAAAACAGAACGGACTGCCGCGCAGTATACTCGTCCTTTTATTGGTAGACGGATATCTCGCCTTCGCCACAGGTGACGTAAGTTGGCAAAAGCCAAACGAGCTTTTCGAATCCGTGCTGAGATTTCGTCCGATACCAACCCATTAGGGCTGATCAGACTTCCAAGATAAGTGAAGTTGTCAACGCGTTCGACTACTTCACTCCCTATCCTTAGTTCAGGTGTTAACGTAGACCAGTCCTGAAGCAACAACTTGCATTTAGAGGGAGAGAAGCGCATTCCAAACATCCTGGCATTGTTGCTCAGTGCTACCAGAAGACTCTGCATTTTGTCAGCGTCTTCACCAAACAGGACTATGTCATCTGCGTATTCTAAGTCGATAAGTGGACCTGGAAGGAGATCAATACTCGAGAACTCAGTCGACGAGAAAGTTATTTCCATCAGTAGATCTATGATGAAGTTAAACAAAAATGGGGAAAGTGGACATTCTTGACGGACACCACTTGAGGTTGCAAAACTAGATGACAGTTCGCCATAAGCTCTGACTCGACTAGTAGTGTTCGAGTAAAGAGCCTTTACAAGGTTTATGTACTTCTGGGGTACGCCTTTCAATGACAGACACTGCCACAGAATCTCGCGGTCTACCGAGTCAAATGCTGCTTTTAAGTCAAGAAAGACCACCATCGTCGGACGCCGATAAGTATGCCTGTGTTCTAGAACCTGACGAATGGTGAATATGTGGTCGATGCAGCCACGATCTGTTCTGAAGCCAGCTTGATTTTCTCGTGTTTGCAGTTCACGAGTTTTAGTTAGGCGTCTGATTATTATTGAGGCTAGTATTTTAGATATTATATTAGTTAAACTAATCCCTCTGTGGTTGTCACAGGATGATTTTGACCCTTATATATTGGGACGATAAGTGATTGTGACCAGTCAGATGGAATAACGTCTAACTCCCAGATCTTAGCTAAAATATTAGTCAACCTAACCTCTAAAATTGGACCACTATCCTTAAAGACTTCTGGAGCCAGACCATCTGGACCAGCAGCCCTTCCTCGTTTCAGATTATCTATAGCCTTTTGAACTTCTGATAGAGTTGAGGGACCTACTTCAATGTTCCATTCACGCTGTCTGGGAATGGAGGGTAGTTGTAGAGTAGCTGAACTGTTCTCTGAAATGTTCCGCCCATCGTTTTAAACGCCTGGACTGGGGGCAGATGAGTGTATCGTCTTTTTCCGATATAATCTCACTTACACTTGACTTATTAATTCCAGTTTCTTTTATTAGTCTGTGTAATAAAGGTAGGCTGTTTATTTATTTCAGGGCAACTGACCGGTGGAAAAAGCGAATTTAGTAAGATTCTTTTCAAACTCTATAATTAGAAATATCCGTTAAATGTCAGCGTAAGACACCACTGAAGTTTGTGATAAGTATGGCTTGTCATAGATTTAAAAACGGACTGGTTTTAGTCCAGAGATATTGGTCTCGGCTATATACCGATGGATATCTTTACACGATTACTTAATATACCAAATAAAACCAGACATCGTTATTGAAATATGCAGTGAAAGTTTTTCACTTTCTATAAAAGGGTTAGGTGATAAGATAGATTATTCTACATATTTGTGACCTAGTTATCGAATTTAGTTAAGGTTCGCAGTCTGAGAATGACATGAACTGACTAGGTGTTTATAATTGCATCAAGGTTAACACTCAGTAAATTACATTGTTATAAAAAAATACATATAGTCTTCGTTAATTTTTTATAGGACGAACCTGAAAGACTGGATCCTGTGGGAAATATCCGTACATATTTTTATAATTATAAATAAAATAATTCACTTCTTTACTTGAGCCACACTCTAAATGTGGAATCAGTCAGTCAGTCAGTAATAACGTAGAACTTCGTACGTACGTACATCAGTTCGAGTTGCCATACCACATTCTAAATTTGGGATCTAGTGACTGAAGGTTGAAAGCTTTCACAAACAAGCCACTGCCCCATGGGAAACGAGCTCCTGAAAGTTTAGTAAATGTTATCTGCTGACATTGTAACTGGATAAATTAGGGGCGAACTCACGCTGCTCATTAAAGACCGGTTGCTCTAGTTTCATGTACACTTAAGTGTCATGAACTAATTTTTTAGTTAATGCAAAATAGCAAACTCTGTGCTTTGGGATGTTATCAGGCATAACTTAGAATGAGTTTGATTTAATATTTACTACTCGTATGTATCACGTTCTGTTTTACTTCTTTACAACTTTGTCATTTCTTTTTGCGTAAAGCATTTAGAGCCATTCTTAGTTTCCATGTTAATAAAGGGAGCTTAGTGGTTTAGGCGTTGGACTTTCAACCACCAGTAGCCCTCTTAGTGTGAGTAAGAGCGAAGTACAAGAAGCTATACCTGTTAAATAAGTAAATTTCAGTCAATTTTCGTTTCAATAAAATAGCTGAACGGATACAGCAAGATAGCCTCGTTTTCAAATATGTGTTTCAGTTAAGGTATACTCATCCATTTGCACTCCCCTAATCAACCTTATTTAATCCGCGTGTATTAATTAGTGTGAATGAAGCTGAATGGATCCACTGACTTTGGTTAGTCTTCGGTTACAAGTAAATTAATGTTCCTAGGACTGTTATTTTTATAGATAATTCGCCGAGTTACATGAGTAATTTTCGTGGGTAGGGTTTCATCCTGACTTTATTTCTTCCAACAAATGGGAGTTACAAACTGTCCCTATAAACAAAGCTAACCAGTAAGAATTTGAGAATAAGTTTATTTCATTTTAGGGCCTCTCATTCACTACAAACAGTTTCAGTTTACAACGAATTATGTGATTAGAAATAAATGATTAATATACTTCGGTCACATAAAAATTTTAAAACGAAACAGTACGCAAAAGATTAAGACCCAAAAGTGATATTTCCAAGTGGATTTGAGCTTAATGGTTAGCTATACGTAAGAAGTCTATCTTTGAAAAGTAGAGTGCATCCCCCGGGGGCTTGGTTAGGGTCATGAAGTGGTTATCTCTAAGGTCTTTAATAAAAAAACATCATATCTACTTGGCTTTGAAGTGGCCCCTGGGATCAAGCATTTCTTATCTGATCTATGAATACAAGCAGAACCATTATTAGCTCATATGTATTTGGTGTCTGCTATCATTAAAATTACCATTATTTCAAAACCTAGTTAACTTTACTCGTGTGAAGTTTGGTAACTTTAGCCAGTGTAGTTTTTACTAGGCTCTACTTATGTTGGAAAGAACAAAAAGCCTTATTTGGGGAATATTGCTCTAAAATTTCACGAAAATTATTAATCAACCATCTTACTTTGTTTCAGCTTATATATATATAGTCGACCCACGACATATTTGTTTGAATTTTTCCTGATTCATTAGATTAGTGATTCCATTTAATAATCGAATTAAATATTTAAAATATATTTTATATATCTACTTTTTTTATCAACTATATTTGACCTTTAAATATCGTTTACTGGACTAGTACTTTTTACAAATATTAATCCTAGTTATCAACGTACAAGACGAAAAGCGAGTATGCGGCACCCTCAGAAGTATAGCTAATATATGTAAACTCGGAAGCCGCGCTGAATTGTTACCTTATGCGAGTGATCTTTTGGATGCAGTGCTTCAGTTGCCTGGAGATTCTTCTAAGGGGATTCTTCTATGTCGTCTTGAAACGAAAGTTTTACAACGAATTGGTTTGTTATTTTGCCCACCAATAAATACAACATGGCAGTACCAACGAGGATGTCGATCACTGCAAGACAACTTAGAATCTCTTTTGATGAATCATGGCAACAAAGATTCTTCAGTCTCTGCAAAAGTTGCTGATCATTCGTTATACACAGGTTTTCAAAATAATATCTCAAGTGATATTTCTGGGGATTGTTCATTAACTATGAACTATGAATTGTCCAACACAGACGAAGTTGCGGAAGTTATTGATAAACTAATAAGCGCTTTACGCAATCAATTTACTGGGGTTCGTTGGTCTGCTGCCAAAGGGTAGGAAGCATATTTATTCTTTACAGTATACTTGTATGAGTTCGTCCTGTTTACTTTTAATTTAGTAGTTTAAAATGAAATGTCCTACTTCATTTTCCAGCACTTGTATTATTATAACATAAATACATCTACTAGTGGTAGTTTATGCAAGAGCATACTTTCCATAATATTAGAAATGTTTAGTTTCTTTAGGTATAACAGACGCCACTATCAACTTATTACAAGGTGGTGGTAAACAAAATAAGTCAAGAGAGTGTAAATAAAGAACAGATAAGTCAGTGATCAGAAACCATCATACATGTACGTTATGAGACATTTAAAAGTACTCTACACTTAAACTCTTCCCAGTGTTGCCGAACTCTGATAATAAATACAGTTCTCGAATACAGCTCAGTTCATGTAAGATTAATATCACCCACGACATGCATGACCTGGTGGTGTTACCCAGCTGCTTAGACCAAGATAGATGAAACTTGGTTTAAATCAAGAGCTTAATAGTCAGGATTCCAGTACCTTCAACACGGAGCCACTAAGTTTAACTAAGTATCCTAATATAATGACATTGATAAACTATGAAGCCTAGTTTCACAGTCTATGGCAAACTGTATTTTGGGTAGATGTTAGTGTCGCATTGTTTTTCAAATAGGATTAAGTGTTTTATCATGTCACTGGATGTTTGTCACTTATAGACACTAGCCATTTTTATATTAAATGCTAAAGTAACGATATCTGACTTTCGTTTCATCCCAATAAATTGTATTTACAGAATTGCATTCCATAAATTGTGGACAATCGATGTGCTTTTTTTTTCTTAGGATCGGACGTATTTGTTCTCGTCTTTCCAGTTCAATGGTAAATGATGTTCTATCGGCTGTGTTATCCTTGTGTACAAAACTCGAACCATATACTGCATGGCATGGAGCTTGTCTTGCTTTGGCTGAACTTGGCCGTCGCAGTCTTCTTTTACCATCTAAATTACCAGAAGTAAATCTTTTGTTTTGACAGCGGATTAATTCAATGATAGGGACATATTTTTACTGTTAGTGTGCGAATCGACGACAAATATTACCCGTACCCTGAAAACCTTATATTTCACAGCCACGGAATATTAAAACGCAACACAACCGATGACTAAAAACTTAATATTTTACAAAAACTATCAGTTTGTTCACATTTTCAAGCACCTTAGAATTACAATGAAAAAGTGTTTAAGTGGTTTCTGTTGATTAGTCTAAAACTTAATAAACTGTTCAGTAGCGTAGAAGCATGAATCAGAATATAGAGTAGAGACAATTCTATCCCACCGACTTATGACATAAAACTCTAGCTTCTTATATGTCCTGTCTTGAAAGTTCTTGGAATTATTATTGCATTTCTGAAAATACGACAGTATTGGTCCAGTTAATTGTAAGACAATGAGCAGATATATCCTTTGGAAGAAGAATAGGTGGTGTTACTTTTACACCTCTGTAATGAGGCATATAATTAGACTGGTTACTTCAATTTACTGTATGAAACTATATATATTGCCCAGATAATGGTTCCAAGTATAATTTTAGGAAATGTTATTGAGTAATTAATGATCAATAAATCTACTTACTGAAGTGATTTACGTATGAAAATTCAGTGTAGATCCAGTATCATATCCATATATTGAATTAAAATAGACTTATTATTTGCGAACTTGATCTTGTCTATTTTAACTATCTTCTGATTACATATTGATTAAATAATAGGCTTTTCATTTCTAGGTGATTCCAGTAGTTTTACGAGCTCTGTTTTACGATGAGCGGTCTGGTGATCATAATTATGGATCAAATGTTCGAGATGCTGGGTGTTATGTATGCTGGGCATTCGCAAGGGCATATCATCCTAAGGATTTCGTGGATTATGTCATTCCTATTGCAAGCTCTCTAGTCTTAGTTAGCCTGTTCGATCGAGAGGTTAGTGTACGTCGAGCAGCGTCTGCTGCATTTCAAGAGAACGTGGGTAGACAGGTTAGTTCCACAATTTTTATTTTTGAATCAGCCAATCGTACTCTTTTTACTAATTAACACATAAAGTACTGTTGGAATTATTCCGTTAGGCTTTGGTATCATTATATCATATCGCAGAATTAACGTGTATGATTGCTATCAACGTTGTGGTCTGCGGATTATTTCCCGCTTACTTTTGTCAAAAGCAGTGGTAATATCAACACAACACAAACATTTGAGCTATTTAGAGCTCAGTTAATTAGTGTATGTATGATATGGATGAATGAATTTAAAACATATATTGTTTTTTATCTCGTGAAGAAAAGCTGAAGTTAATATGCGTACATCCCACTTAATAAAGCTTAGACCCACTATCAACTGGTCAAATCTAGGAAGGCAAAGTTGGATTGACATTAGTTGCCCACTTGTTAAAAGTCGTGTCAAAAGCACTAAGCCACAATTGCACTGGTCTGTCCGTGAATATGTTCGCTAGTAGCTTGGTGGTTAAAGGGACTAAATGTTAGTCTCTAGATCGTAGTTTCGAGTCCCAGCCCATCTACTTCGGTTTGAACAATCGAGTAGTTTCACGAAACCCTAATATGTAAATTGTATCTCATAACTGAGTACACAAATATGCACCTGGTCATCACAGTCACTAGTGTTAATTTACGCAGTCACCTGTTATGTATATCTTAACCTAAAGTTTGAGTTTGCTTGTTCGTAAATTAACAAGTAAAATGTGTGAAGGAAATCGGACAGTGCAAACACCAAACACTCAAAGTCCTGTTGAACTTCACCATTTAAGTTGAATAAATTAATTGAATTGTCATGTTTATCGATAGGTGTGCAGCAATGATAATAACCAGTTTTCAAGTCAAGACGACCGGGAAGACGCTACTAAATCAGAATTTGTCCTCGTTGACTTCTCACGAAACGTTGATATAAAAAATCCTATTGTTTGCAAAGTGGAATGTCAACAGATACCCCAGTTGTTATGTTTGGATTCATTCCTATGATTAATTATTATTATACCATTATTGTTTAAATACATGTATATACATATATTCTTATTTACAAATAGGGTCAGTTTCCACATGGAATTGAAATCCTCACTACATGTGATTATTTCAGTGTGGGAAATCGTGCTCACTGTTACCTTCAGTTGAGGTTAGTTGGAAAAACAATCGTATTAAGATGGAGTGAATTTATTATATTCGTCTCTTTTGTTAGAGATTTCAAGTAATTTGAAAATATACTCAAGTGTTAAATGCATGTAACCTTCTGTGGAACTTTGTTTCATGCAATTTATTCATATCTTTCAGATACTATGATAAATATGCACAAACCTGTACTGAAAGACTAGTTCAGTGCATGGAGAAATAGGTTTTTATAGGAACTGAAAAAGACAATAGCCAATCTGGAATCGCGGCCTTAACTCTCTATGTTAAAGAGCTCACTGTAAAGACTGAGTTACAAATTTTTGATAATGAGTGTATTGTTTATTTTCTTTAAGGAACATAAATTCTAATGCAATAGAGCACCAAAAGAATGCGTCACCCAGACTAAATGACAATCTTATGAAGGACTAATAGACAACCAGTTAGTATGATCATTGAATTGATGGGAAACAATAGTATGTGGTTTGAGATTACAGTTCATTTAAAAATACAACCAAGAGAGACTCCATTCACTCAGAGGAGGTCACTTCACTTGTATGAAGACTGTAATGGAAAGCTACTGCAAAATCACCACTGGATTCTGTTATGACTAGTTACATCTCAAACTACCGAGCATTTCGACCGGCGAGTGTTAAAGGAATAACAGATACCAGTTACTTGCATCAGCCTCTTATATCACAGCTTCATGTTATTAATTGACCACTTTTTCCACCCACTCTCGGTGTCGGCAAATAATGAATGATATAGGAGTTTAAGGTATGACATTTGTGAAATACTACCTGGCTGCTGAAATCGGTTTCTCAAAAGTTAGTTATTATCACGGCTACTGGATACATATTTCTAACATGGTGTTTACCCCGGATGTGGGCAGTCTTTCGGAAACGACGATGATGGCACACAGTCGTCGGACGTCGTCATCTTGGTGGGACTAAATTTTACCAAAGTAAGGCAAGATTGCCCTTACTGATACAACAATGATGTTTTGTAGCCGAACTGACATCACAACTTAACTGAAAATGCCCCAGATTTACGTAAAAAACTGTGGATTTTCCTATATGTCTTTTCTCTTACTCTGCCACTAACACTGGTTTTAGTAATCGCGTAATATTGCTAACCAAGCAGAATGCGACTTAGATTCTAGTACATAAAAATGTTTTTAGCAAATGACTTACCTCAGACGCTGATGGTTAAACGTTCATGAAAATAAAAAGGTGGCTAACTTTATAGATTATTACGTAGTTACTACCCTTGTTCAACCTATACAATTTTTGTTTCTACTGTTTTTGTACTAATGATTAAATATATTTCTTGAAATTATTATTCAGTGTGTCTGTAGCTAAATTTAAAGAATATATAGAACCTATGATTGGTCATTTGGTCAATGTTCGTCTTGGACATTGGGATGATTCAATCAGATATCTGGCTGCTTGTGCTTTAGGCAAACTATACATAGCTGATCCTGATTACATGATGGAAATTGGTGAGTCTTATTTTATCCTAGTAAACATTTCCTCCAATCTTTTCGCGGTATAATTATACTTATTTTGACATTCGTTACATGCTGTAAATTTATTACCGTATTGACTAGTTCTTCGAGTAATCCAGACTTAGTTATAATATTAAGGTTTAATTTAATTTCATCGTTAAATAATATAGTTTATTCATCGGATTATTATAATCGTGTATTTGTTTGGCCTCATATTGTAATAATCAGTCATTAAGTTACACGTTTGACTGTGCTAGATTTTATAAAAGCCATATTTACTAGTATTATACGAGTGATAATTGAGTACATTAACTATCACATCTCAGTTCTGTTTTATTGCGCTCACTATTTCCCTTCATTTGGGTTATTGTCTTTCATAATACTTTGAACTAGCAGTCGTTATTCTGACATTACGTAATTGCTATTCAGTAGGACCAATAAGGTATGCTAGCTAATTTGTTTATAATGTGGCTTCTTGTGTTCTTATCAATGATGATTTGTTGGAATAAAATCCATTTTCGCTATCGTTTGAATGGGAACTAGTATAACTGATTCCATACGCTTAGTTTCTTAATATCATTGTTTTATGTAGGAGGATTTCGTGATTTGATAAGTGACTGCTCGCTCATTATCATTGAGTAGAATTCTGATCGATCGACGATATGGAGGATCCACCCTGGGGGAGTTGGAAGACCCTGATTCCAAACCAATGGTGCACATGGGCTCCAGGATGGCGTATGAACCAATTTTTGGTCAACGGCTATCATGGGACTGTATCTCCCGGTGTTTCCTCGATGCCCTGTGGATCAAACCTTTAGGTCAAAGGCTCCGGGTGTGGCCCCCTGAGAAAACTACCTGCTTCGGTCTGGGCACCCGGGCAGTATCATAGCCCACACAAAAATCAAGTGACTTGTGTGGTGCATACGTATTCTGTACCCCTTTGTACCAATATTTGTGTTCAAAAAATAGTTAGATAAATAAATGATACAATATGGTTGAGTGGTGGTTGCTCACGGGACCGGATTATTGACTGATACCCCCTAAATGTTTTGGAAATATAGACAATATCATTAGTCAGAATAGGTCTTTTTGTTTAATAATATGAAATACTTATATACAAAATAGGAACATGAAATAAAGATAATAAGTTGTTATGGGGTATTAGAAGGAGCTTAACTTGTATGTCACTCACTCTCCAATCAATCAAGACCGGTTTGTTAGGCCCACTTGTTACACATCGTATAAGACTAACAACGTTTAGTAAAACCCACCAGTATATGTATAGGCGAAAACTAAAAATGATTGTATGGTACGGTTTTTCTTTATAATGTATTCATTGAGACAAATTACTTGTAACTACCAACTCATCTAGTATGCTTCTTACTTATGAGGTAAGAAGCTATGGTTACACCTAAAAAGTTACGAGGATTAGTCATTACATAGGGTTAGAGTGAAGACTACATATTTTGTTTCGTAATCAACTGATACGTTATGTTTCCTTTTATGGGATCCTGAAGATTATTCAACTAAGCTACTTGAGGTGTTATCAGACATAACTACAACTGTGAAAACAATCAATAATCTAAATTTCAAGTTATCTTTTTTTACCCTTATTAAGTAATAAGAAGTATTCATTTTGCTTTTAAGTCTTGCCTCAGATAATCAGTGGTTCAATTAAATCTACTCTACACAATCAACAAGGGTGTATATTTGGAACAGGTGAATTGTTATGTGCATCATCCAGGTTAGTGGTTTACTGATTGTACTATTTACATGTGCTATTGTGTGACCGTTTATTTGTAACATTCGTTATTACATATGTTGATCAATCGTTGTTAAATCAGTGAAACCGAGGAAAATAGTACTGGTTTAGGTTCATTGAATTATTTTATGCTATATGCATATGTATACGCCAGTCTATCATTGTTTAATTTACGTTAGTCATTTTCTGAATAACATTCAAATAAAATAAACTTTGGTCGCTTTACTAAATTTTACTTGACAGTGTTTGCTGACAGAATATTCTTTGTAATATTTAATCTTAAATCAAAGTCTTCTAAATATTTTCGTCGATGTTGAGTTTTCCAACTTATGAAACTACATTTTTGTAAGAAATCGATGTTTATATTTATGTCCAATATATGTGGTGACAATGTAGAGGGTAAAGATTCTAAGCATAATGCATAGACAATTACAATATTTAGTTTAACGAATGAAGACAATATTCTTGTGACTATAAGTTATAAGTTTGATTTTTTTATTGACTATTCTCTGTTACACAATGAAATCGAAACCAAGTTTAGATTAGTCCTGGAGAATGTTGTCACTGATGATAAAATAATCAACACTTTATCAGTATACATTAAAGAGGAAGAGTGTATTTGTAAAATCTCAGCGAATGAATTTGAAGTAAACCCAACGTTTCGCCTGGCAACCTGGTCCAAGCTTTTTCAAGGAAATATAATCAAACATCAAAATTATCGAATATCAATATGTATATGGTTCCCCGGTTCACTGTATACTGAATAGGTCATCTACTCAACGTTAACAATGTTTAAAGTAGGTATTTGCATTAGCATGTAAGCGACATGTGGTGTGAAACAAAAAGTGTCAAGACAACAGATTGTATGTATACGCAAGTGGTGTGAGAAGCAATTTCTCTGGTCGGTGGATTTTTCATTTATATCATATATAGCGAACGTCCGGCGCTTTAACCGGATCACAAACCAATGGTGCACATGGGCTCCAGTATCCTGCGGGAACAAATGGCGTATGAACCAATCGTTGGTCACCGGCTACCATGGGATTGCATCTCCTTACGATGCTCCACTGCCTTGTGGGTTAGACCATTAGGTCAAAGGCTCGGGGTGTGGCCCCCTAAGATAACCACCTGCTTCGGTTTGGGCACCCGGGCAGTATCACAGCCCACACACAAACCATGAACTCTATGACTATGGCAAATAATTTTCTCGTGTGGCGCATATATATTGGCGCTCTCTTGTACCAATATTTATGTGTTCAAATAAAATTCAAATAAAATAAATCATTTATATCATATATAAAATTATATGTATATATATACTGTGAAACTATTCGATCAAATTTAGACGAAAGTTCTTATATATCAGTATACATGCTAAAAATCCAACTGGTAAATATTGAAGATTTATCGGAATGGTTTATTGTACAGCGTAGTGGCATTTTGAGTTGTCAGTTCCAACGTTTTAGACTTTTTTCTGTCACTGAATAATAAGATAATTACTGATTGATCATTTATATCCCGTCCTGTCTAGAAGATTTTCATTTTTATTGTTACACTTAATAAATAACTTAAAGGTTGAATTAAAGTTACGTAATCATTGGTGATTATCTTATTTGTAGGTTGTGAAGCAATAAACCAATTTGTAACATAATTCAACAATCTGTTGTATATAACCTCAGATATGTATATCTTCAAATAGACTGATTTTTTACGTAAAACAATTACTATACTCACACCAAAAAATTCATCTGAATTGAAATTAAATGAGAAACAGTATTCTTGAATTTAATTATTATTTCTACATATCACATCCTACTGTTATTATTTCTGTTTTTTTTTTCAGTTATGTTATAAATGAGGAAAATCTACTCAAGATTAAAGAAATTGTTCCAGCAGTAAGTTGAATTTCCGTTCTCGATGATGCTTATTACATATTGTTTTGCATTTTTATCTGAATCTTTTGGACATAAAGATATATGCTGAATATATGGTGGCTATAATGTGTTGCTTTGTTTTAATATTAATGATTAAGTGGATAAATACTAGTAGTGTTAGTAACAATGCTAGTAATAACTATAATGGCGATGATAATAATATTAATGATATTGTTAGGAAGGCTCCCAAAAAGTACAACGAAGTCTCTAGTGGCTCTAAAGGAGCACAATAGATTCTTTTCAATCAGAATTTGACAGAACCTTCTAGAACATCAACGTGACATTCCATGATTAGACAATTATATAACTTTCCTACTTGCGGATAGGCTGAGTTATAATGATTTTATAGTTTATACTAAAACTGTAAATACCCCTGTTCTTCTGTACATTCTTGACTTCTACCCAATAATCGCTTCCCTTTCTTCTTCCCTCGCTTGATTTGTGACTGTAGGGGTTCTGTACGTCCGGGTGCTGATAGTTGTATACCCTATTCTTGCCGTAATTAGGTAGAGGGCGTAACAAATACTAATAATAGTGGTGATAGTAATGATGGCAATAATAATAAAAACAAATGATCATACTTGTAGTCAGGTTTTGCTTTTTATTACCCTAGTTACTGATTGTGTGTAACCCCAAAATTGTGTCTTTTTTAAATTCGAGAGTAAAAATTTGAAACACTAATGATAACAGGAGAAAGGAATTGAGGAAAAAGAAAACCGAGATTGTTAGATGACTTTAAGAGCTTATTTTACAGCTTATGTAGAGCACAAATTAACAAGTGATCACTGACTTTGATTCCCCAAGTGTATCACGATCTTCGTTATTTTCATTGTTCACCGAACCTCAAAATCATTCGTGTGGTTTTAAAATGGAATAGAACAATCACTATAGATCTAGGAATGATTAAGTACATAACTCGTGAGACATCATAAGCTCATAGAAATCGCTTCATAGAAGTACTTGAATTTCTGTTATCTGAATAATATCGTAGCAAGTGATGGAAATCAGTATCAAAATGACATTAACTGTAAGCTGTTGCACTCCATTCAAGTTATCAGCTACACAGTTTAGGAGAAATGTAGTATGCTGATCAGCCATCTCTAAAAATAGAGGCGAATGTGAAATAAACACTTTTAAAAGGAATTCATCCAGAATAGTGTGGAGTTGCGAAATAAGCTACTTTTGTGATTAATACTTGGGTATAATTCTATTTGCGAAGGTTTGTATTATCCTAAATTATAAGAAAAACACTTCTTCAATGATCCAAAAGATTCGCTCAGTGCTTCTTTTGTCACAAAATTTTTGATAATCATCTTATCCCACAACATAATGGGAGTTGAGTCAGAAGGTTGTTTGAAAAAATTCTGTTTAAGTTTGTCTGATGTAAATTTGTGTTATTAACAACAAGTCGATTACTGGGATTCGATCAGTGTCTTCACAGCATCACCCTTGAATGTTGGGACCACTTAGTGAGCAGTCATGAAGTTCAATGTAGGGTGTTAGACAAGTATAGTAAATTGGTTGATAAGTTTGTTGATCCTTATCGATTGAAGTGGTTGGGCTATGTGTTACGTATGCCTGAATTGATGGATAGAAGTAATTTGGATAAACGTTACTTACTTACGTCTGTTACTCCCAATGGAGCATAGGCCGCCGACCGGCGTTCTCCAACCTACTCTGTCATGGACCTTCCTTTCTAGTTCTATCCAACCGTTGTTCATTTTTCTCATATATGTCTCCATTTCTCGATGAAGTGTGTTCTTTGGCCTTGAGTATTGCAAGTGAGGGCTTGCCTTGTGACACAGTTGGTTGCTTTCCTCAACGTATGTCCTATCGACTTCCAGTGCTTCTTCCTGATTTCTTGCTCCTCTGGGATCTGGTTTGTTCTCTCCCACAATAGGTTGTTGCTGATAGTGTCTGGCGAATGGATCCGAAGTATTTTGCGTAGGCAACTGTTAATAAACACTTGTATCTTCTGGATGATGGCTTTCGTAGTTCTCCAGGTTTCCTCTCCATGCTGTCTTGACATTTGCATTGAAAATTCTGATCTTGGTGTTGGTTGAGAGTTGTTTTGAGTTCCGGATGTTCTTCATTTGTAAATATGCTGCTCTTGCTTTGCCGATCTGCAGCTTCACGTCTGCATCAGATCCATTGTGTTCATCAATGATTCTGCCCAGATATGTAAATGTTTTTACATCTTCCAAATCTTCTCCGTCAATTGTGACTGGCTTAGTGCACGTTGTGTTGTATCGCAGAATCTTGATTTTCCCTTTGTGTATATTGAGACCTACTGTTGCTGAGGTTGGTGCTACACTGGTCGTACTCTCCTTCATTTGTTGTTGTGTGTACGAAAGAGCCAGACCATCTGTGAAGTCTAGATCATCCAGCTGCATTCTAGCTGTCCACCACGACCGAAGCTGCTACCTTGACGCGGTGGTCAGGCTTGCCTATCGTGATGACCCAAATGATCTATATTGGCTGGAACATATGTCCCTGTAGGTTCTACCATGCAAGGCAGGTGGATTGGAGAACGGTAGGACTAAAAGCAGCAACTCAAGTTCTGAGGGCGAAGTCGTACTGCTGACTGTAGAGGGCTGTGACAGCAGTAAGGTGTTTCCCTCAGACAACCAGCATCTACAGCGATGCTGCCTTCCCACAAGAAGGGGTAGGGTTAGAAAAGGTCGACCCTAAAAATGTCACACCTCACCTTACCTCACGGATTTCCGTCTCCGGCGGTAAGGCCCTTTGAAGAACGGAGCTAACACATTAAAAACCTTCCACGAAAAAAACCGTGCGCGACCAGCCTCAAGCAGTTGTCCCTTTGGCTCTGCGGTCACGCTCTCGGGTCGTTAAGACCAACACTAATCCAATTTCCTTTTCAGGTTCCTCAAGAAATACCCTTCCACGGTGTGGGCAGCCGGGAAGTGATATCAGCCCTCATACCCGTAACAGCACACGAGACCAAATTGGTCACATTCAAATCCTTCCTACACCTCCTAATATCTCTCTTATCTCCATGACTAACCCTCCTCACATCTCTTTATCACCTCACACCGCTAGGGCAAACGACTTGAGTACGCGGAACGCTATTTTTGGTCTCCTGAAACCACGCTCTAAGCTACACGTAGGAGCTTTTAACGTCCGAACACTGTGCCGAATAGGACAGCAGGCTTCCTTAGCTAGGACTTTAGAATCCCGCGCCATCGATGTGTGCTGCGTCTCCGAAACGCGCATACAAGATCTGAGTAGCGTCATTCATTTGACTTCACCATGCCAAAATAAAGAACCGACTCGATTTACGCTTCGTGTATCTGGAAGCCCTGATTCTGCTTCCCGTGGCCTCGCCGGTGTAGGTATAGCATTGAGTCCCAGAGCAGAACTAGCTCTCTTAGTGTGGATCCCAGTAGACAGCCGTTTGTGCGCTTAACGAGGATGATAAAGCTATAAGAAATCTGAAGCGAGGGATAGCAACAGGCCCTGACAGGCTTACTCCTGAGATTTTTAAGGATGGTGGTCCAGTATTAGCAATGAGATTAACTGAGGTCTTATGTAGAATTTGGGAACTGGACTTAATCCCGTCTGACTAGTCTCAATCGCTGATAGTGACAGTCTATAAGAAAGGACAAAGGTTCTCTTGTGTCTAAAATATTAGCTTCAATAATACTTCGAAGCCTAACTAAAGCTCGTAAAGAGCAGACTAGAGAAAATCAGGCTGGTTTACGACCTGGACGTGGTTGTACAGACCAGATATTCACACTACCTCAGGTTCTAGGACACAGACACACGTTCAGACGTCCCACAATGGTAGTATTTCTCGATCTTAAGGCGGCATTCGACTCTGTTGATCGTGAGGTTCTATGGCAGTGTTTGTCACTGAAAGGAGTACCAAAGAAGTACATTAACCTTATTTAGGCTCTCTACTCGAACACAACTGGTCGAGTGAGAGCTTATGGCGAACTGTCATCAGAATTGATTACATCAAGTGGTGTTCGTCAAGGCTGTCCACTCTCTCCATTCTTGTTCAACTTTGTCGTTGACGTGCTTTTAGAAATGACACTTTCCTCGTCTAGATTTCCAGGGGTTGAACTTTTACCGGGAGGTTCACTTGTTGACTTAGAATATGCTGATGACATAGTTTTATTTGGTGAAGACGCTGACAAAATGCAGAGTCTTCTGATCACTCTAAGCAACAATTCAAGCATGTTCGGGATGCGATTTTCCCCTTCGAAATGCAAAACGTTGCTTCAGGATTGGGTTACATCGACCCCGGAACTAATGATAGGGAGTGAAGTAATTGAGCGTGTCGATCGCTTCACTTATCTTGGAAGTCGCATCAGCCCTTGTGGTCTGGTGTGTGATGAAATCTCAACACGGATACAGAAGGCTCGACTAGCTTTTGCTAACTTGCGTCATTTATGGCGTAGGCGAGATATCCGTCTATCAACCAAAGGACGGGTTTACTGCGCAGCAGTTCGTCCCGTCCTACTTTATGGGAGTGAAACATGGCCGGTAAGAGTAGTGGATATTCGTAGACTATTAGTATTTGATCATAGGTGTCTTCGAAATATTGCTCGTATATCCTGGGACCATCGAATAAGTAATGCAGTTGTTAGGAAACGGGTACTAGGTAAGGATGGCAAATCAATTGATGAAGTGGTGAAACTTCATCAGTTGAGATGGCTGGGACACGTGTTACGTATGCCCAACGACCGACTGCCTCGACGTGCGATGTTCAGTGGTATAGGAGTAGATTGGAAGAAAGCTAGGTGCGGCCAGACCGAAACATGGTACAAGTCCATGATGTCATTGACAAGTGGTCTGAGTCATGTTGGTAGGTGTAGACTACCTGGTTAGGGACCGCGAGACGACAGCTACCGATGGTTAGAGACCCTGAATGACATGGCTCAAAATCGTTTGCAATGGTGCAGGTGCATCCACTCTTTGTGTTCTCCCAAATTCTAATCTGAATTCTTGATGTCCATTTTTTTTCTCTTTCTAAATTTGTTTCACTGGATTATACTCCTTAAATAACATCTTAAAACCCTAATTTTTCTGATTACAGCTTATAATTTTACTACCTCTACCACTACGGGATTTGAATCGACAACTGCATCTCTGTGCTAATGTGGTGTGGCAACTCGAACTACGTTGTTACTGACTGACTGACTAGCTGTCCACTGTATCCCATGCTTCTCCTCAGATGTTGACGTTTTCATGGTCCATTCGATTATCAGGATGGAATGTGTCTGGTCCTGCTGCTTTGCCACTCTCGACCTGTCTACCGGCAATGCTTATCTCTTGAATTGTTGGTGGGCCAACATCGGTTGGGAGGTCCGTGGGTGCTGCTTCGATGTTGGGTGGGTTCAGTGGGGCTGGTCGATTCAAGAGTTCTTTGAAGTGTTCTACTCACCTGTTTCGTTGCTCTTCAATGTTAGTGATTACCTCGCCTTCCTTGCTTTTCACTGGTCGTTCTGGTTTACGGTGATTTCCAGAGAGTTTCTTTGTAATGTCATGCAGTTGTCTCATGTTTCCTTCTCTTGCAGCCTTTTCCGCCGTCATTGCTAAATCTTCCACATATTTACGTTTGTCAGTTCTGATGCTCGTCTTCACCTGTTTGTTTACTTCTGTGTATTCAGCTTGTACCTTGGCTTTCTCTGCACTTGTTCGGATGGTATTGATTGCTGTCTTGTTCCTGCTTTCTTGAATCTTATCCAGTGTATCAACAATGATCCATTCGTTGTGGTGGTGCTTCTTGTGGCCCAGAACCTCATGACATGTTGAAGTGTTGCATCTTTTATCACTTTCCAGTTGTTCTCCATAGTAGTTCCCTCTCCATTGAGTAGACCATGAAAGGGCTGGGACCTATTGCTGAGGGCTATCTTGAATTTGTTGAGTTTGTCAGTATCCTGAAGTAAAGCCGTGTTAAACTTTTGTGATGTTGTCCGCCCCGTTGTGGAGTGCTTCTTGAGTTTCAATCTCATCTTGGCAACCAGCAAGTGATGATCTGATGCTATATCAACTTCACTCTTGGTTTTCACGTCCTCCATTGTCCTCCTGGACTTCTATGGTCGATATGGTTCTGTGTAGTGTGGTTCTGTGCAACCCATGTGGCTTTGTACATGCGTTTATGTGGGAATATAGTGCCGCCTATGACCAGTTTGTTGAAGGCACATAAGTTTGAAAATCACCATTTTCGTTCCTTTCTTCCAGTCCATATCGTCCTATTGTGATGTGTGCTGCTTATATTGACATAAGTAGTATATGTTGTTAGTTGTGAACAGAAGGTCTGGCAGCAGAGAGACAAGAGGATCGGACAGTAAAGAATGGAAACAGGATGCAATTTGTATGAAAATTCAAGAACAATGAAGTCTGAGTCATTTTGAGACAATTGTTGGACATTATAAGATAAGATGGATAATGGCTAGCAGTGGAATCCAGGACGCGCGTTTCGTCCTGTTTGGAACTCGTCATTTGGACACACCTGCTAGCCACTATCCATCTTTGCTTGGAATGATTGTAAATTAAGGCAATATCGAGGCATATTCACAGTATGCACATATGCCAATAAGAGATTGATCAATTTCATTCCTAAAACATCAATGGGAAGATTTTTGTAAAACAATATCAAGTGAATTGGTGGACATTGTGCAAATTGAGAATTTACTTTATGATTGTTAGATTTTAATAACAAGTCCTGTAATTTTGGGTTAAATACGTTCGATTGTCTCCACTGGTGTCATTGTTCACTACACTATAATGTCTTCATATCCGGTGTTGTCCATTCCAACTTTGGCATTTAGGTCTCCCATAAGAATGGTCAAGTCCTCTGTCGGACGATTGACTGCAGCCTATCCTAGAATTAATCTTTAACGTCTTCATTGTAGTCGTTGGTAGGTGCATAACATTGGATGACGTTCAGTGTAATGCCCTCGTTCTTTGTTTTGAATGAGGCTTTGATAATCCTTGGTCCATGAGATTCCCATCCTATAAGTGCATTTTGTGCTCCTTTGGACAGCATTAATGCAACTACTTGTGTATGTGGGGTATTTTCTTCATAATGGCTGGAGTATAACAGAAGCTTCCCTGAAGCTAGTCTTTGTTGTCCAACTTGCGTCCATTGTGTTTCACTGATCCCAAGCACCTCTAAGTTGTATCTCCTCATTTCTGCAGCAATTTGAAAGACTCTCCCGGTCTCCCACATTGTGCGAGTATTCCATGTGGCTAGATAAATGGTTGCTCTGGTTTTCAGAAGGGGCATCAGCCTCGTGGTTTCCGAAGGAACTCGGCTTTCACCATGAGGCGTCATAACTCTTCTAAATGAAGACCTTCTGACTCTCAGGGCATAGTTTAAGTGGTTTGAATAATTTTTTCTGGTTGGCGTTTTTTAGCGAGTTAGTTTTCTACGGGATGGGGTCGCTAACCCATGCCCAACCCTCCTCATTTATCCGGGCTTGGGACCAGCAGTAGCCCCAGAGGGGCTCCAGACGGAGTTAGGAGCAGCCGAACCAAAAAAATGTCGTCAGTCCTCGAAGCCATTATCTGTTATTCTGAACCATGTTGATTGAAAGTATACGCAATTTTCGTGACCATCGGTGAGCAACGTTGAATGACAGGGATAATGATCGATCTCAGTCGCACATATTAATGTACTCTTCGTCTGTCCTTAGATCCTGAATTGCAAAACTAATTTTTTGCTTTTTTATTTCGCGAACTTGTTTTTTTCTTGGATAGTATTCTGTATATCCAGTATTTTACTACCATTGATATGTAATTGATTGTTAATAGTGTCAGTTAATAGGAAACCCATTTAGCTGACGAACGTAATGCAAGTGTTTCCACTGATCCTGTTTGTAAGACCAAAATTCTGTTACCTCTTTTTTAAAGGCTGTTTATAGCTTTGCTGAACATTAGCGTACGCATTCGCTATTGTCTCTTCGTTCAACTTGATTATTTTGTCGTAAACTGAAATTTGGTTACAAAATAAACTTTTGTCAAGGTTGTATCATAATGATAGCTATGGTTTTCAGTGATGCAGTTTTGTTTATATAATTGTGCGATGAATGAGTAGCGCTCTCAGTTGGCCATTTCTTAATATATTGTTTTTGAAAGCAAAAATGAATGTCTCACAACTTTTTTTTCAAGTAATAAATTTTCCAGAATAGTATGGATATTTATTTCATATGTTATGCGTTCAATTTGTTCATCATTTGTATGTGTGTTTAGTTACTAATGAAAGAAGCTTTATCACTTTCATCGTTTTCTCTTACTCAGCTTAAAAGTGCGAACAAATTTCGTGGTCTAAGTGGTGAATTAATTCGAAAAGCAACTGCTCATTTTATTCAGAAGTGTGCAATGGCCAGATTACCGTTTCATGATGATCCAATTATTGGTGAGTTTTTCATATACTTATCATAACTTTTTTTCGATTTGGTTCGGAATTTTGACATTCAACATACTTAAAAGTCTCCAAGACAAACATCGCTCGGTTATAATTATCATATTTTCTTTGGTGACTATATTAAAGATAGATTACTATAAATTCTTATAGGCGACAATAAAATACAGAGTCAGCAAGTCGAAACTGAATCAGTATCTTATCGATTGTATTATAGGAGTATCATGTCAAATGAAAAATTGGCGGAATTGGAAAATACGGTACATTGATTCCGGTATTTTGGTTGTCGCGAGACCGTATGTTTCTGTGCGTGATACCATATGGTATCTTGTGTGAGCATATCTAAGAAATTCCAAACTTCATTGAAATCGCTGTACACTTTTTCCTAGTTTTCACTGTCCTCTGAATATCTTCAGTTCAAAATAAAAACTACTTAGAAGATACAGAACATTATCCATATCATCATAGTGAATTACACATCTCTGTCTACAGTCAAGTTAATTTTATTTCATTCTTTACTGAGACGTACTTGGTAGGATTCGAAACTCAACAGTTCAAACGTTCAACCCCCAACTTATTTCATAGGTCTTAACTCCACCATACCTACTTGGGTTTGGGAAACTGGGGACTACCTTTAACCATCACACGAATAGTATTATATAGGACGAGTGCATAAACCCGTATTTTCTAGGTGGGTTATAATAAAACACTTCAAATATATTTGAAGTTTATTATTACGAGACGTATAGCGTGTACTCTCGTTTTTACTGGATTCAGTTATTTTACTAGTACGCACTCGCATGTTATTCGTTTAACTAGTAAGAAGATGTTATCGATTCATCGTATGTTGCCAATTTTGCTAGCATGTATATATAATCATGCACCACCTTATCCTTAATATACTTTCCAAATACTGTGCAAGATATCTATCAAATACGAAATCCAGCACATTGGGTGTATATCTATTAAATTTATTATTTTATTTCTTTGTCATATTATTTTTGTACCGTCAGAAGTTTGGCGTGAATTCTTGGATGATTGTGTCGGACATAAAAATCCTGAAGTACAGGTAAAGATTAATAAATGTTACAATGAAAAACGTTTGCTATAATATTAAGTTATTTAATGCTTAATTATTGTTAAACATGTTATTTTCTTTTACTTTCTAACCATGTTTCTTTGTCTTTTTCCTGGGGGGAGGGGTGGCATTTTATTTTAACTATTCAGTTTTAATAAAAGGAACCTTTAAATTTACCGGTAAAATCTCTACAGTTTGTGGCACTTAAGCTTTTCTTATTGATCGTATTGATAGAAACAAATGGTGATTGATAAAAAAGTTATCTTAATAGCTAATTAAAAAAGTACAATTTTTCGTTTAATAATTTTAATTTATCTTCTCTCAACTGTTTATTTTAATATTTGTAATCTGAAATTCAAATCAATCCTAATTATTATTCAATTTTTAGGTTGGTTTTGTTCTAACAGGTGAAATTTTTTTCCATTGATTGGAAATAGATTAAGGCTATTAAAAACTACATTATATGTATTATACCATCATAAGATAGTGAAATTATAGAGGAATATAAAAATCGAATCCTAGCTAGTCTTGTACTTGTTCTTCTGAACGCCTTCAATACAGCTAAATGACGAAGCTTTATCACTAACAACTGGGGATGTGATTATTTGAATTTTACTCCTTAAATTTTCTTTTTAATAGTTAAACTCATGAGTCGATGTAAGTTAGACCACTATTGAAGACCTAGAAGCACTAGAAGGTCGTTTCGTCCTAGTATGGGACTCCTCAGCAGTGTACATCCACGATCCTACATGCGGGATGCGAACCCGGGACCATCGGTCTCGCGCGCGGGCCGTTAACCTGTAGACCACTGAGTTGTCATCCAATGATGTTGATGTCTAACTTCAATCGATTCATGATCTTGCGCAACCATTCATTTATTGTCTGAGGTAGATATCTGTCTACCAGACATGGATTGGTCACGGCCTCTCGACTCAAATCCAACTCGTAAAAATTACTACAATCTCTACAAACTTCCGTTCTGATCAGGAATTTTATTTTGTTAGTTTTTGATTTAGAACATTATATATAAGTGAACAATGTTTTTTCCAATTAGATCCTTATCACACTTTACTATAATTTACATTAATATTTATATGCATATATGAAATTATTAAATTAATCAAGACCGTTTATGAGTCAGTGATAACAATGGATAGATTACATAGACAAATATAAGAACTAAGAAGTATAAATTGATAGTGTGATGACAGATGTACTAGTTGTGATAACAAACGCTCAAAGGAATGTTTCATAATTGGAAATAGGTTGTTGACTTGGAAAAATATAGATACCGAAATAACATCTATAAAACTATAAGATCGCGTATTAAGAAGTGCTCAGATAATTGGATAAAGAAAGGTGGGGGTGAAAAAAATAGACGAACAAAGGGTATGGAAAATCATGATGAATATAATCTCTTATTAATTCGGTCAAGGAAGAGATAAGTGTGTTACAAATTTCCTATGAATACAAAAACTTGAATTGTTAGCTCGAATTCTTATAGCTTCTGGTGTGTGTAAGAGACGAGATCGAACCACATAAGGTAAACTAATAGGAATACGATAAATCACTTTAAATGACCTATTTCTGTCTACTACGCAACCGCTATCGATCAAGTTTAATGGAACAGAACTGTGTATTGTTTCAAAGATGCCCTTTTCTATCCACGAAAGGAGATGCTTACCAATTTGTTCGCTCAGTTATCTGGTTGTGCACCCAATATAGCTTTCTCCATGGGAGCAGCTGGTTTCGTAGATACACATAGATTTAGCAAAACCAGGTAGTGTATCTTTTAGTTGAGGAATCATCACAGGTTGGGTCGAAAATGATAGACAATAGTTAATTCTCTTCATTTCTCGAATCAGTCCTGAGTAGCACATCACATCAGCTTTCGATTTTGTCATTATCAGTTTACCTCATTAAGTGTATAACTTTAACATCTCAACAGTTTCAATGAAAATTGAACATATTGACAAAATGAACTTAGAGATGACTTTATTCTGTGAGGAAATAATCTATATTTTGATATATTGTATGTTGTCACGTGATAGGCTTAACTGTTATAAGTAAACCTAACTTTGTAACTGAAGTGGTGTTTTTTCTCAATAAGTAAATTGTATCTTCATTTTCAGAAAGCTACTGTGAATGCATATCCTCACTTTTTATCAACTTATTTGTACAACCGAAATGGTGAACTGAAATTAGGCTATAAAGGTATTTTAACAAATTTTGTAAAATAACTTATACGTTAATCTGCCCGTTAATAACCTTTCAATAGTGTGTACCAATTTTTGTTTGGCCAACTGCCTTTATCTAAATATGGTATTTTTACTGGGACATTTGTTCTCCATTTATCAGCATTCACCATTGACTTTGATACATACTCTCCGATCTGTTGAAACTACTCTCGAGGTATAGATAATATTTTGTACATGAAAACTCGTCACAAAAACAAATTCAGACACTACCATACCTAGTCACGAATACACTCATCTTCGTGCTTTGTTTACGGGTTAACAATGTTTATTAGATGGTGATAAACTTGTGGACCGTCCATCCATAGATGAGGAGTGTTTTTAAGTCTATGAGCCAAACTCTGTAGATAATCTTCATTTAAGCACATACATACTCCGAATTTGTGGATAATATCCTTTCAATCGGCTAGACATTTATTATACTGCTGAGATTGTCGTTACCATTGATAAACCCCTTATATTGACTGTAAAGTTCATCCTGTTTACTACAAATGGGATTCAGGTGGACTGACTAAATGTCATTTATCACTCATAAATAGTTTTTGGTAGGATTTATTATAGTCGTGCTCCATTGAATTATATTTTTCTCTTGGTTTTACTTCGTGCGTTAACTCTCATAATTTGTTCAGGATCATTCATCAGATCATAATTATCTGGCATCAGAATATCTTACTTGAAGTAAGTAAAATCACGTTCAAACTCAACCCTACATTTTTGGGTGGATATGTGGGATATCGAATTCCAAGTTCAATAAAGTACTATTAGAAACTCAAAATATATTTAGTTTAGTCAATAGTTAGTTTTTGAGTTCACTGTATAGTTACTTGAACAACAGATTCACTCCAACTTAAAAGTATCACATTTATTTACTTCGTTCAATTTGTCTGCTAAACCTTATTTCTTGTTGAGTACGTAGATGTTATTTTTGAGTTATATATAAATGATATCGATAGGTAAATCAAGTTACTAAACATTGTATATTAGTTAAACTCATAACTTGTAAATTGTTTTCATTTCCAGATTTATTGTACAGGAACTTTTTACTTCATTTAAATACTAATTCTGAATCGGAACTTTCTGGTTATTTACAAATTATTGGTGCAGCTCCGAGTAGTTTGTATTGCGGACATGTTGCTGATTTGTTGGATACTGTCACTAGTGCTTGTAAATCGACTTCAAAGACAAAATTCTGGGTTGATTCTCGCAGATCCGCTTTAAAAGCTCTTGTTGAGTAAGTTTGAGAAGAGACTCCTAATTATTTAATGTTTGCTATTAAATTACAAAATTTTAAGAATTGTATGATTATCTACATGAGGCAAAATTTTGTTGCCAACATTATGTGATAGTGTTAGTTTAATAGTGTTCTAAGAAACTATTCATCTCATAGGTTAATATGTATATCCTTATGAAATCCAACCTGTTGATCTCGAATCTGGATGTTTATTGAATCTTTCATCTGGTTCAGCAACACTCTTTTGAAAGGTTTTGCTGGTACCAATTGTAGTGTGATGTTTTTGTAGTCCTCAAAATTACTCAGATCTCCTTTGTTTGGTATCTTGATAAAGTATCCTTCTTCTAAGTCTTTCAGTGGGACTTGTTTTTCCCCTAGATGTTCGTGAATAGAATATTGCGCATGTTTGCAGTTACTTCTTTGTCTGACTTTAATGCTTCAGGTCCTGCTGTTTTCTCACTCTTGATTTGTTTGAAGGCCGTGCTGATTTCTTCGATCATTGGTGGAGTGACAGCTATAATAATGTCTGTGTGTGCTGCTTCGATGTCTGGTGGATTTAGTGAACCTAGTTTGTTTAATAGTTCCTCGAAGTGTTCTACTCACCTGTTCCTCTGTTCTTGAATCTCAGTGATTGGTGTGCCTTCATTGTCCTTGACCGGTCTTTCTAGTTTATTATATTTCCCTACCAGTTTCTTTGTTGTGTCGTATAGTTGTCTCATATTTCCTTCTGTTGCTACTTTTTCCACTGTCATTGCTTGGTCTTTTACGTATTTCCGCTTATCTGTTCTAATGCTGCTCTTCACTTGCTTATTTGCTTCTGTGCATTTGATCTGCACCATGACTTTCTGTGTTCTTGTTCGGCTGTTGTTAATTTCTGTCTTCTTGTTCTTCCTTTCTTGAATCTTGTCCAGAGTTTCAATAAACTTCCATTCCTTATGATGCTTCTTTCGACTCAGCACTTCCTGAAACTTTGAAGTTAGTGCTCCTTTGATCCCTTTCCAATGGTTTTCCACAGTAACTTCCTCTTCCTTGAGTAGATCTTGTGCGGCTTGGAAGCTGTTGCTGAGAGTTATCTTGGATTGGTCGACATTTTCAGTTTGTCGCAGATATTAAACCGTTGTAATGCTCTTTCCCCAGTTGTCCAGTGTTTCTTTAGCTTCAGTTTCATCTTAGCAACCACCGGGTGGTGATCTGAAGCTATGTCAACTCCTTTCGTGGTTCGCACGTCTTCCATTGACCTTCTGAATTTTTGAGTGGTGCAAATGTGGTCGATGTGGTTCTCTGTAGTATGATTCTGTCAGACGCATGTAGCTTGTGTATGTCTTTGGTGTGGGAATATAATGCCACATATAACTTTCGTTGTGGGCACATAAATTTATAAATCCGTCACCATTCATACAGTCCATGTCGTCCTGTGATCTCTTCATACTCGGTGTTGTCGATTCTGACTTTGGCATTTAAGTCTCCTATCAGGATTGTCAGGTCCCTTATTGGGCATTTCGCTATGATTGAATGCAGCCTCTCGTAGAACTGATCTTTATCGTCGTTATTGCTATCGTTGGTGGGTGCGTAACATTGGATAACATCCATTGCAATTCCCTCCTTTGTTTTGAAGAATGCTTTAATGATCTTGGGTCTATGAGATTACATTCCTAAAAGTGCATTTCGTGCTTCGTGTTTCTTTTGGTAAAGCATTTTCTTTCTCATGACTAGATTACAATAACATCTCTTCTGAATCTAATCTTTTGTGTCCATCTTGGATCCTATGTGTTTCGCTGATTCCGACACCCCCAAGTTGTATTTTCTAATTTCTTCAGCTACTTAAATGGTCCTCCCGGTCTCCTAAATTGTCGGAGCATTCTATGTACCTATATTAATTGTTGCTCTGGTTGTTAAAAGAGATATCGGCATCGTGATCTTGGCTTTCACTATGAGGCATTCTTCTAAATGACGATTTTTGAACTCGAAGGGCAGAGCTTAGATGGTGTAAATAGTTTTTTGTGGCTAATATTTTTGTTTAGCAAGGTTGTTTTCTATGGGATTGTATTGCTGACACTATGCCCAACCCTCTTTTTTCAGGACTCGGGACTGGTGGTAACCCTTGAAAAGCTACAGTTGAAGTTAATTTTATTAACGTATATTATTTTTATTTTCATGTGATAACGGGCTAATTGTGCTAAACGTTTGGTCAAATATAATTTTGCACTTGATTCTATCTTTCATACTCTAGGATCATAAAAAATCTTGGGGCTCATCACTCCGAATTAAATGTTACCCTTTTGAAATTTACTTGTTATATTTTACTCCAATCTCTATCTGACTATACAATGGATTCACGTGGGGATGTAGGTTCTCTGTAAGTGATCAACTTGTTCGTATATTCTATAACATACTTTCATCATGCGTTCACTAACATTGAGTTTAATTTGCATAAAATAACTTTTGGTGCATAAATCAGGCGGGTTAATATAACGCATATTATTCAAGTTCATTGTTGGTGTTTCAATGATTTACTTCATACATTCTTAGCACTTATTAGTATTTACCTTTTACTTGCTTTTGATTTTATAAAGTTCCCTGTTCTATATTTAGAAATTTTTTGATGGATTCAAAAGGTTTGGTGTGTGCTACAGATGTAAGTAGTATGTATCGTGAATCGAAAGTCAAATGCCTGGTAGCAGAAGGTTAAGAATATCGGAGGAAAGAGAAGGAGAACAGAGAATGATTGCTGTGGAAGCGAAGAAACAATGAAGTCTGAGATGACTAATTGACATTTCGCAAATGATGTATTTTGCTATGACATTCTGTAATTTCGTGTTCAAATACATTCGATTGTCCCCACTTGTGTTCTCGTTCATTACAAAGGTAATGTGAAGAAAGTAACCGCAAGTAGATTTTGATTCGATGCTTTCACACTTCATATGACTGCCCATACAGTAATTACCAATAAAAAATAGAATAAACAAAATCTGCTGAAATAATAGTGACATTAATATTAGTAAACAAGTGATTAATCATTTGCTCCGTAAAAATTACTAAAAAATCAACGGATGAAAGGTGTTAAGAATTATAGGGATCGATAAACATTAATGAATTCATTTGCTCCATGACAAACAGCTTTTAGTTTTATTACCTTTAGTTTTCGTTAGTTGAGTATGGTTATCAGTTGTGCATGCCTTATTTGAAAGTTTCTGCTTCTCTCTCTCTCTCTATATATATATATATATATATATATATATATATATATATATATATATATATATAACGCTGAAAGATATTGTGAAAGAAAACATTATAATCGTACATTATTATTTCAAATATATCTGGTTCATTTCAGAGTATGGCGTAATAGTGCATCGTTTTCTTACTTTGTTGTCGTCCGTTCACATTCTTTTTAGTTAATTCACTACTAAAATTTAAACTTTACAGACATCTCCTCGTCAAACTTAGTAAGTTTCTGCAACGAGGCCACTGGGTTTTCACACACGTCAATTATCCAGTAATAATTTACATAATTAATTGACATCCATATAACAGCAACAACACATCGATCACTGGATATTTCCGCTGTCTTTATTACTATCTATTCATGTTCTTGAGTAGTATAATTATAGAAGTGCAAGTTTTCCTTACTGTTCTCGTTTTTATGAAACAATAAATGTAGGCCTGTGGTTGTTTTTTGTGAAGGCGGTAACTAAGGTAACAGCTGTTTCACACCAATTTATACTGTTTTTATAATTCTTGTCATGTTTGTGCGAAGGCATGAGATTCTCCAACCGGTTTTGTTTGGCGAACAATAACCTGTTGTCTTGACTACGTAGATTATTATTATTATTATTATTATTATTATTATTATTATTATTACTATTATCATTATTATTCGGATTAAAGTACACCACGGTCACTTGTTTATCAATGACTCCACTTTCAGTAGTGATTTGTCTTCCCATCGTGCAGCGATACATATGCATTTCGATAATTATACAAATATTTTTTATATTTGTTCGAACACATAAACATTGGTACAAGTGAGTACCAAATACATATGCGTCACACAAATCGAATGGTTTTTGTGAGGGCTGGAATACTTCCCGGTTTCCCAAACAGAAGCAGGCGGTTTTCTTAAAGTTCCCACCTGAGTCTTTGACCTAAAGGTATAAGCCATAAGGCAGTGGAGCAATGTTAAGAGATGCAGTCCTATGGTTGCTGGTGACCAACAATAGATTGACAGGCCATTTGTTCCTTCAGGGTCCTGAAGCCAATGTGCACCATTGGTTTGGAATCAGAGTCTTCCAACTAACTCTCCTAAATGAATCCTTTATATCCACCAATCCGGTTAAAGTGCTGGACATTCTCTTTTCGTCCTTTCAATTTCGTAAACAACAGCCTAACCACGATAAGGCAGTGAGCAGGATTCCCCTTTGAGTGGCTGTATATTTGTGACCATGTGAGAGCATTTGGATAGGAAGAGCGGACTCTCCCCACCCTCATCCGTACCAGGGCACATAGGGGCATACAAATAACTTGAGTAAAGTTAACACATACTGACCAATGGTTAGTTGATGCGTAAATACCTTAGTCTACAAATTATTTCTCAGTCATCCTGTATATAGTTATTTGAAGTTTATGATTCAGTTATTATAACGAGTTGTACTCTTTGATGACTAAAACATATTATCTACAGCCATCTATTTTCAAGTTTATTTTGTTTCTTTACAAAGATAATGTAGTGATATTTATTTTCACTAACATTTTCACAGTATCGTTAAGATCGTTACACAGTATACACTGTTTAATACTTACTCTTTATTTGCATACATACATAGTGTTCGCGAAGTTGGAATGAAATGTTTGGACTCATATATTGATTTTCTTGTAAATAATCAATACAAAGAGCTTATTACATCAGACATGTAAGTTTTTGTATATTAATTCATTTCACTAGAACAATCACTTTTTTTAAGAGTAGACTTCCTGATATAAGCTTTTTGTAAACAAACATAAAGAGCAATGAAATATTTCTGTTCGATTATCTCCTTGTAATGGCCTTTCACCAATGTCATTCAACAAGTCATATGCAACGTATTATGAGCTTGCACATTAATAATGACATCAGAAACGATTGAGCATACAATATAGATCAAGAAAACATGAATTCATGGAATACAAAATTTATTAGGTTTATTAAGAGATCTCGGCCATTACTAATGATTCTGAGTCATATTGCTCAAAGTCTTTAATCACTGATCACCATAATCATTGCACCGTGATGCATATTTAACAATACTAACGAAATCGATATTGAGCCAGTGGTAGCGCGTTAAACAATAATATAACATTTAAAGGTGTTCATGAAAATATTTACTTTGACTTTTAATTACTTTATAAATCGTTTGTTATTCTATTATTCAATACCAATAACATTGTTTCTTTTAATGTCTTACCATATTTATTTAGGATTGAAGAAGTGATGACTAGCATTGCACAACAAGCTGTTGAAAAAATCGATCGGACACGAGATGTAGCTGGTCAAGTGTTCGCTCATTTACTTCATCATGAGTGAGTGAACCATGTTCTCATGCCTTATTTACTCTTGTTTTTTGACGCGACCTATTAAGTTTTCTAATGAAAAAGCTAAATCAAGTCGGAGAAAATTGAATTTCGAATGGAAAGTACTAATAAGTAATTGAAAAGAAGTGAAACATGAAAATAAATTGGTTCAGCTATCCTCATTTTAAAATTAGGTAGAGTCATAAAAACATATATCTATAGTAACTAACCGTTGATTTGAATTTGATCATCTATAAATGAATAAATAAAACCTAAACAATTTTGTTATACTCATATAGATCTTGCTGTTCACAAAACTGTATTTAGAACTATACAGTATGGAAATAGTAACCGAACAATAAGCTTGGTTTTTATTAAAATTATATTTTTATAAATTACATTTATGAAGCCTATGTTATAGTTAGTGTTTCATTATACATTATAACATATATTAACTAATTCATGGTGAATGATGTATCTTAGTTGCTAAATGAAAATTAGACTATATTGTTTAAAATTTCATAGCTAGAAATTAATTGACAGGATCTACTGAAAATAATTTTTCATTGATGTAAAAATGGTTTTTCATGCATGCAAATAGTAATAACATCTACCTATTTTTTTTGTTTTCAACAGCCCTCCTGTCGAACACATTCCTCATTTTGAAGAACTGAAACAAATTTTCCCAAAGTAATTTCTACATATCACTTGTTATTTTTAACGATAATTCTTCTGGCTCAATATGAATTTCTGTAAAGTAGAATTATCACTGCGTAATAGTTTATAAAACTGTTAAATTGCGTGGATTACCCATAGAATTCACCTGGTACTATGAAGTGCTATATAATTATTACTTTTAAATTTGATACTATTTTTATTTTCTTCTCTATATAATTCAAATCTGTCTCAGTGTTACTTCCGGAAGTGTGTCATTCATCGTTTAATATTATATCACTCCAACGGTATCGGATATCGATTTATGGTTTCTGATGCAATGTAAATTTTTGTAAAACGCTTGTTTAGACAATATTATCAAATGTCTTTTTACTGAAGATATGCTTTACTAACGACCTTCAGGGAATCCTAAATGATATTGAGAAAGTAAGGCCAATTTTTAGTCAGTCAAACTATAGTCCACATAGATGAATAATTTATTACTCAGGAATCCTGAAATGGCTTGGAGTTGTGGGTAGTGTGTAGGAGCAGAATCGAAGCATGGTTTGTTGCTTGTTGGCTGAATAATTATGCAGATGTTTCTTTGGTTAAAAATACCCAAAACCTTTGACTTACCTTTAAAAGTTTCCTATTCTCTAAGTATCTCATGTTTATCGACTGTAACCGTCTTAGCAACTAAATATTAACAGATTTATGCTAAGATCTTAGTGAGATACAAGTTACCCATCACGACGTTTTGAATTCCATTCAAAAACCCAGTTGTTTCTATTTTAAATTTGATCAACTCGCCGATAAACACATATTTTCCATCCTGTTTTCTAGTAGATATTCTCTTCATTTTGGTCTAATTAGTTATCATATAGATAAATAATACACACACAACCTGACATGGTGATCTATGGTTAAAAATTAGCTCTTCATTACATTCAGACCAAAAATACTTGTCAGTAGAAACATTAACACATCGTCAATGAAAACTATATATAGCTAAATGATTGGTGAAATCAATCAATTGTGTTGGGGATACCCAGAAAATTCCCCGATAAAAGCCCGGTGGAGCCCTGAAAACTCTGGGAAACATTTTGTCCATTCAGCATTGAAGAGAAGTTTATCAGAAACATCTAGATAGTGAAAAGTCGCATTTCTGATTGGATGATTACCTATCCTGCTACTGTGTTCAGTAGGATTCTATAACGTTTCAGAAACGCAAGGTCGTCTGAAATGCTATAAATACCCTAGATTTTCGTCACATAAACGACCCTTGGAGTAAGGTGTTCTTTCCATATTACGGGTTTTTTCTCTCGTGTTCTAGTTGTCGTGTATAGTTAGCCTGGGGTTATTAGAAGAGTTTAGGGAACCAATCCAAGCGTTCAGACAGGTCTATGAAATTAAAATGGTATCAAATATACATTTATTACTTAAGACTTTGAATAAGAACAGAAATCAGTGTATCCACCCTAATACAATTGATCTTAAATGATTTATTATCTGAAACAATCTCCACTATGAGTTTTTATGTTATTTTCGAACAGCATAGTGAGAAAATGTATTTATACTAAGAATTGATATTTCGGTAAAACGTTTGCTGTCGCATTTTCTTCAATCAACCAACTACCTATGTGCACGTAACTGTTATTTCATTTTGTTTCGTTTAAAAAAACATTTATTATTAGATCTGATTGTGATGATATGATATGGAATTCGGCCAATTCAACATTTCATCGTTTTACGAAACTGTTGGATTTTCCAGAATATCGTTATCGTTTAATTTTAGGTTTAATCGTCAGTGTCGGTGGTTTGACAGAATTAACAGTTAGTAAAATGTTCTATAAAATTTCTGTCTACCTATTTCTTTTTCATGTATTACAGTTTTTACAAGTTGAATTCATGATTCGATCTAAGCTAGATCATCATTGAAAACCTGGAAGCTCTAGATAGCCGTTTTGTCCTAGTATGGGACTCCACAACAGTGAGCATTCACGGTTTCGCAAGCGAGACTCAAACCCAGGACCTTCGGTTTTGCGAGTGAACTCATAACCTGTAGACCACTGAGCTGGCATCTAACGGTGTTAATGTCTAACTCCAACCAATCCACAATATCGTGCTTTGCTGAGTCCCATACAAGGACGAAACGTTCATCCAGTGCTTCCATATTTTCTGTAGTGGTCTAGTTTCGATAGACTCGTGAATCCAACTTTGGAAATACTATAATCTCCACGAATTCCTTTACTGATAATAAAGTTTTCTCAATTCTTCTATGTTCAAGGATTCGTTTGTTGTATGTAGTAGTTATTTTTAATGTTTAAGATGTAGATATATTTTTTTCATTTGTAAAATTATCTTTCGAACAGGAAGTATCGGATTTCTGTAGTTCTCATATATTCTTTTCCCGTGGATGCGCAAAACACGCGTTGAGTCTTAGTGTTTATCTTTCGCTCTCGATTATTGATAACTATTTATTATGATCCGCCATATTAAATCATGCATCTAGATTGCCCTTTTGCAATCTTAAATAACAAGTCGATCAGCACTGAAGGCTAAATAAAATTACATTGTATGCATTCATAATTTCCATTAAAAGAAAACAAATATTTCGTGAGGATTTTTTTCCCCAATAATTTTATTACTAAAATCGGTACAATCATAGTTAGAAAATACGAAAATATAAGGCCAGTCAAGGACATGACAGTAAATGACTATAAAAATTGTTGGTGTACAGATTGGTTTGGTTTTATGTTGGATATCGCTAACGCTGATACAGTGCAAAAGTGTGTATACACACTTTGTAGTAAATCCGATTTAATCTTCATTTAATTACTTGAAAAATTCTTCTTGAATCTTTCACTTTGTATTTTTGTCTTGAAGACTAAATCAGAAAAAGCGTTCATCATCGAATGGCACTGCTAGTCAAAGTCCAACTTACTGAAAATTTGTGTGTATGATTATTTTTTTTTATACGTAGTTTGCATGTAAATAATTCTCTGATACTTCTTATGAAAACCTTTATTTTCTGTCTGTAACTTAAAATACTTAGTACTTCAATAACGTTTTAGACATCTATTCTCAAATATTTTAAAATTTTGTTGTTTCAATCCTTTCAATCTAGATCATAGCTTTTTAAATTCACCTAAGTTTATAGTCATCGTGATAATAATGTTGGGGAAATCATTAATTATTCAGAAAGAGTTTTCTTCAGTTCGTAGACTTAAAATTCTGTGACGATTATAGTTATACATTGATAAAAGAATTTTAGAGAAAGGATAGAAATATCATTCGCTAGCACTTTTCAGTTGATTGATCTTGTTAAAATGAAAAGCAACTTCAGGTTAGAAAACGGTGCAATGAACCATCAACCTGAGATATATCACTGATCTCTTCTCTTACCTTATAGTTTTATTGGAAACTATTTTGTATCTTAATATAATTGCGTTAAATTGAACATGTTGCTGAATCGCCCTAAATTAAAATCACTAAGGAGGTTGAAAAACTGACTTATCATGTAAATTTAACTGGTCTCAGTAAAATAGTTATATACCTTAACGGTCGATTGTTTACACAAAATTCACTCCTATCCAAATCGTTAATCAGAACACCGAAAAATTTAGTCAAGTACCTTGTATTGTTTGTATTTTTCTAGACTCAAAAACTCATGTAATTGTGATCACTAAATAAATGACCACAATACGCCATAAATATTGAATTTCAGTAGATGCATAACTGAGCTAAGTAATTGATTTATTGTCAATTAGTCTGCAGAGAATGCACATCTGATCGAGTACAGACCTAAACATCAATGGGACGATTTAAATAACCAACATACGTGAGTTAATTAATTATATTTTATAAGAAGCCAACATAAGCCTCAACAATTAACGAGTCAAAGAATTGCTTATAATTAGGATTATCTATAAACGTCTCTGTATATTCTCCCATTTTTAACAATCGAGATTCACGAATGTACTGTTATTAGAATAACAGGACCACTAACCAGCACAATAGATTTTTCTCTTAATAAGATGACATCCTGATATCCGAAATATCGGATACATAATGTAATCAAAATAGGCATATTGGAGATTAAAATTTCATTGATCACTTAATTATAAGTGGGATAAACACTCTACTGTAAAGCTTGATTCTTCTCTCTCACATCAGTTTTCGTACGTCTGATTATTTTCGGTATTCTGTGTTCAGTTGTATAAACTGTTGAACTGACTCAATGTCTCCATTTTTCAGTGTTCTAAAACTTTATATCATATTTATTGTGTGTTTGATTATTATTAATCAAGTATGATCTTTTGCATTTAACATCAAATTTGTTCGAAAAATGTTAAACAGATTTATTATATCAGTAAAAACCTGTCACACTTCTGATTTTATTTTTTGTGCACCTTTTTTTAAATCACATCTATTTGTTTGTTTTCTTTTATCATGTAGATTCGATGTAGCACTTCAGCTTTAAGTGCATATTTTCTTGATCATGAGTCAGATCAGCTGTTTATTGTGGAAGTGTTAAAGATTGTTGAACAGATTCTGCAATCGTTTCAACAAGAAGAGAGGTAATTAGTTTGCTTAGTTTACTTTTCTAAGATGTAATTGTTATGTGTAAATAATAGTGGTTCTAGTGATATTTTCTAATCACCTTCGAAAACTCAATAATTATTACATGTGCTAATGATACAGTATTTGTATTCCCAAATATTCAGTATTAGGTTGAAACTGCATTCCGCTTACTTTGGTTTAGGTATGCGGGCTTCATACATACGATATCTCACAAAGCCGAGACGGTGGATTCATCGTTGGTGACTTAGTGTATGAATTCGCTTGGCTTTGTCTAACTTGCCTCACATGTGGCGTGGGCGAAATGTCCGTTTACCAACTAATGAGCGAGTACACCGTGCAGCTGTTTTCTTTTTATGATTGTAAAACGTGGCTTTTGAATATAATTGATATTCGTAGGTTACTGATATTTGATTATAAATACCTACAATGCATTCTCGTTGGATGTTGTGATCACATAGTGAGTGATGCCGTGGTTATACCCAGAGTACTGGTTAAAGAATACAAATTAGTTGGTGAAATAGTCAATGTTCATTGACTGAGGTGGCTGAGGGGTATGTTATGTCTGCCCAACTGCCACCCAACTCGTTGCGCTAGTGTTGGAGTTGGTTTGGATAAAGCTGGAGTTGATCAGTTAAAATGTCATATCAATGCACGGATTCATCGTCAGTAGGACTGAGCCATGTACGTAGATCTAGATTTTCTGGTTGAGGTCTGCGCGTTTATCATAGCCAGTGATTAGAGAGTTTTGGCGATATATCTTTGAATCGTTCACGGTGGTGCTGACATATTCACTCTTTGTAATCCCTTTGATCCTGAGTTCCTATATTATCTTGAAAATTTTTATTATCATTCCACATTTTCATATATATTTTTGAGTCATATCTTCTGTACGTAATCGTTCATAATACCACTGATGCGGTTACTATTTCTACAACGCTGAGATTCGTTTTGTTAATTTCATCTGGTTGTTCTGTGTTGTAGATACTTAAATCGATGTACATATGTGGTAGGTTTTACGTTGAATTTGATTGACTAAGTGCTCATAACAGTATATTATGATTGAAGTGTTGATTACTTTGTAAGATATGGCAATTTAGCAAACAAAAAAACATGACAATCAATCAGGACATAGGTCATGCATAAAATCGAATTGGTAGAAAGAATGCGAGCGGTTATCGTTCCAGAAGAGATCTTAGCCTTCCTAATAAAATCTGACTATTCTTGCAACCGCCTCAGCTGTTTCTTTTTGAAGTATTGTTTAAACGTGGTGTATATTGATGTAGGATTTCAAAATACAGAATGTCTGATATGTTTTCTGTTTTTTTGAATTGTGAGCAGTCTTACATTACAATAATATTTGAATGGTTTTATTTACTATTTTGTTCATAGGATTGTTATTCCTCTTTTTAAATTTTTGGACTTTTTACTGAATGATCCGATTGTCAACTCAACAGTTGATCCAAACAGGTAAGTTTGTCATTGTTATATATATAGTATTATTTAATTATTCATTCTTTCATTTCCAAGTAAATATATCCTTTATGATTTATTGTGCATTCGATTCTTAGTTACTGAAAATTATTTTCATAATAAAATAATATCAGAAAAGCCACAAATAACTATGGATTACTGGTCAACTATTTTTCCGTAATTCGTGACTACCCATCAACGATTACCGAAGATTTTACGGTGTCGAGTACAGAACTTTGAGGTTTCACAGAAAACATAAAGCCTTAATAACCTTTGATCCTGTATTCTATGGTAATGGTCACTGTTGTCCAGACAAAGTAGAGACACTCGTCCAGTGATTCGTGGTGTTTATTTGTTTGACATCACTTCATAATGAAAAAAATTTAAAACCTATAAAGTTCTTCGAAATATTACCCAACTTATACTTCATTATTACTGAGAGAGGTTCGACGAACTCTACTATTGTATTATCTGAAACGCATACTTTGTTGAGCGAAAATGGTTTATTTTCTTAGGACATTACATATGCATTGGTGTAAGGGAATTGGAAATAGGATAAGTATATGAATATAAATCGAAAATTGCAATAACATACTGTTGATATATTCAAGGCTATACCACTTCCTTAATGTAGAGTACATTCACTAAATATACTGTTAAATCGTACTTTTATAACATATACATATTATCTATATACTGTATTGTTAATGTTGAAATTATTTTGGAAACTGTTTTCATTGTTCTATAATCGTTACAACAAATAAAACTATTAGTTTGTGTATGCTTTATTGGTTATAATTACATTATGCATATCATTTATCTGAAATCATGAACTAATCTGCATGCCAAATTAATGGATAGTCAATGAGTTTTGAACTTGTGTCATTTTATTACCTTTGACTCATTACGTTTATCATCCGCATTGTAAGTATAAGCACCAAAGGTTTGAGTTGGTAACTACAAATATATTAAGCTTTGGGTAAAATGTTAACCATAGAATAGTAATATATTTTTGATATCCCAATGAATAAAAAGTAGAAGTTCTAAGGGTTCATGATTTATTGTAAGCCACTTCTTCAATGTAAATTATTAGTGAAATTTGGTTTTTTTTATTAACTCTGAAGAACGGGTTTATAATATGCCAGGAACCGTCAGAATTTTTAATTTCCGCTCATTAAGATATTTCAAGTGTCATTCTTGTTAGTTCCATCACTATTATTGTTATCAGTAGTAGTATTACTATCATTTTCGAATTATTATGAACACCATGTGTTTTTGATCATCCACCTGGGCTACAAATCTTCACCATCTCAACATTAAGTGTTGATAAATTGGATTTATCTTTTTGTTTATTTTTTGTTATTCTCTTTGTACAGTCCAATTCTTTTACAATTAACGGAAAGTGTATGGAATGAAACCAAACTAAATAAAGATGTACAACGTATTAAAGCTGCTATCGATGTGTAAGTCATTAGTGTTTAACTGCTTAAAAAGGATATTAAAAAGGTGCTTTAAAACAGCATTAAACTGATGAAGTACAGTTTTTTGCATTTGGTGTTTATCTTCTCAATAAAACCTGATACATTTTGATGTTGTTTTATGAGATTTTTATTATTATTGAAGATAATAATTAAGGGAATTTAGTCAATATTTTATGCATATAATGATATTTACCTGCAAAATTAGTTTTTTGTCAGTCGACACAGAATAAAGTTGTTTGTTTGTTTGTGTGTAATTTATAGACCAAGTGGTCTTACGTGGAAATCGACAACAACGACATAACTCTACCAGTGTGCTAATATCATGTACTTTATGTTCTAGTAATCGGAGTTTTATATCTCATTACTTACTTACTTACTTACTTACTTACTTACTTACTTACTTACTTACTTACTTACTTACTTACTTACTTACTTACTTACTAACGCCTGTTACCCCCGATGAAGCATAGGTCGCCGACCGGCATTCTCCAATCTACTCTGTAATGGACCTTCCTTTCTAGTTCTATTCAACCGATGTTCATTTTTCTCATATATGTCTCCATTTCTCGATGAAGTGTGTTCTTTGGCCTTGAGTATTGCAAGTGAGGGCTTGCCTTGTGACACAGTTGGTTGCTTTCCTTAACGTATGTCCTATCGACTTCCAGTGCTTCTTCCTGATTTCTTCCTCCTCTGGGATCTGGTTTGTTCTCTCCCACAATAGGTTGTTGCTGATAGTGTCTGGCGAATGGATCCGAAGTATTTTGCGTAGGCAACTGTTAATAAACACTTGTATCTTCTGGATGATGGTTTTCGTAGTTCTCCAGGTTTCCTCTCCATGCTGTCTTGACATTTGCATTGAAAATTTCGATCTTGGTGTTGGTTGAGAGTTGTTTTGAGTTCCGGATGTTCTTCATTTGTAAATATGCTGCTCTTGCTTTGCCGATCTGCACCTTCACGTCTGCATCAGATCCATTGTGTTCATCAATGATTCTGCCCAGATATGTAAATGTTTTTACATCTTCCAAATCTTCTCCGTCAATTGTGACTGGCTTAGTGCATGTTGTGTTGTATCGCAGAATCTTGATTTTCCCTTTGTGTATATTGAGACCTACTGTTGCTGAGGTTGGTGCTACACTGGTCGTATTCCCCTTCATTTGTTGTTGCGTGTCCGACTTTATATGTCATAGTTCACACAATAAAATAACACTTCTTGAATTTCTCATACAATGTAATATTGATTTTGCATATCAGGACGTTTATTTATTCATTTTTACTTATATGTACGCAGATTTGGTGGGATGTTACAATTCACTGGGCCTGTTCGACAGCGATCTCTATCGTTAATGATGGTCATGTTGGGATCTCGTTACCCAGTTGTAGGTTTGACATGAATTACTGTTTAATTAATAGTAGTGTATCTGTAAATTTATTTTTGAATTCACATGTCATCATTTAAATGGTTACTACCTTTAAAATTGACCAAGTGTTTTATCAAATAATCGTATCGTATATGTATTCAAATAATCAGATGGAATGTACTGTTATATGTTTGTTATTTTTTGCCTTCATAAAGCTTTTCGAAACAAGCATAAATGTGCAGAAAACATTTATTTTCTTTTCAACTAACTATAAAGAAAAATCAAAGACAGTTTGGCGAAGAAACGTTTCTCTTCCACGATATTGTTAACCCAATCTGCATAGTCATATTTATAGTCAATGTTTACAATTAGTAGTTTATAATGTGACATGTTACATCATCATCATGGTAGTATAAGAGACTAAAAATATTTGGTCTCACTAAGTCGAAGGATAAACTAAGTTTACTTTCAATTAGACAAAGTTACATAAACCTGTACACTTTGGCATCGGTGTACACACTATTTGTCTTCCATTAAACTATGAGATTAAAATCGCTTCATATCTTTCTTTCTACGAACTGATTCTTTCTTCCTGTACTATGTCCTTATAGGAAATCTTTCTTTTATATATTACCACCACTACTATGAGTCCGGTGTTGATCTTTTTGTGCTAATGTGGTATGGGATCTTGAACCGATGCACATATGTGCCTGGTCCTACGTTGTAGCTGACTGACTGTGCGAATAACGCAATCGACGTCAGAATTGAAATCCTCGGGAAATATTTAACAGAAAAAGTCAACCACCTAGGTTCTTCGACGAAGATCTGAAGCCAAGACAGCAACTTGAGAGATTTTCAATAGTACCAAAGTTACTCTATATCAATATTCATTCCAAAGGAACAAATTTAGCAGCTATCCCTAAAAATAAATTTTCAAGAGCTTTGAGAAACACAATTTATTTGGTTGAACTTCGCATTGCTTTCTCTAGTCAACTTTTGATTCAGAGTTGCATAAGAAACAAGCTCTTGCTCTGGTTTACATTAATATGCATAAGTTTATTTGGTTTTATGGAACAGATTGTGTAGGTTGTACAAAGCAAGCTACTTTGAAATGTATGTTTTGCTTGGCTTGCCGTATGTTTACATATATCAATCAACATTCTAATCAAAGAATATCTTGGAAATTTTGATCAGGTTCATTTTCTAGAACTTTTGTTCAAAATCATTCATATAATTAAAAGAACTGGCTGTAAATGAATACAAACTAAAAATATGTATATAATAAGAACTCTAACAATTTAATGACATAACACACTATTTTGTAAACTGCTATTTGCTAAAATTAACTCTAAATACTATTGTACACCTTAAGTAGATGATATCGTTAAAAAGATCCTTTTCTTGCCTGAATTGTCTTTTTTCTCCTTTCTGTGCTGATTATCCCAAAAGCACAACGTTAAAGCTGGTTGCAGAATTGTGAAATGAAGACGAATTACACTGTGATGCTTTAAAATTTGACTTCATCTTTTTGTTGATAATCTCTTTTCGGACATATCCACTGTCTGTTTAGTATTTTGTATAATAATACTTATTCTGAATTTACTTCTTTTCGTTGAAAAATTCAGATTCGTAAGGCGACCGCAACAGAATTGTATGAAGGTTTACTGGTTTATGAGTTATGTCCATCTGAGTTATTAGATCAAGTATCATCCATACTTACTGAAACCATCTGGTGAGTTTTTATCTTTGTATACACATTTTTCTTATTATTTATTTTCTTGTGGAAATGATATGGTTGGATTTATGTTGATATTTGTATATTTGTCGTGTTTAAAATCAACGTGTATACTTGTGCCTGGGAAAGACTCGTTATGTCCAACTTAATATGCATGGCTTTAGACAATGACGATTAATTTTTAGATAATTGTGTTAACCTTCACTGGCTCAGGTGCATGAGTGATGTGTGTTGGACGATTCACCACCCATCACAATTTGTCACCTTTGATAAAGTTGCTTCAATTTAAAAAAATTGTATTGAAACATGTCAGTATTCCATATAATCACATGTCTATTTTCAGTTATTTAACGAAACTCATATTTTCTAAGTGCTATCAGCGAGATGTCACAAATTTATGGTTAGATTTTTGTATTGACATTCACTACATTTGTACAGATCCATCCATGTATTGCTCTGTGTAATTCCTAAATATTTAATTACTTTTCGTTTTGCTTCATTTTTGTACCTATGGTTCCCTTAGTTTGTACCATGTTCATATACACATGCATTCTAATTTTTTCTTATAAATATAATAGTTTGTTTTTGTCACTACTTTTATTGATAACTTTTGTTTAACGGTTGTATTTATTTTTTGACTAAGAAAATTTTTATACTGCTTTCTGAATTTATCAGGGAAGGTGATATTGAAGTAGTCAGACCAATTCGTAATCAACTTTGTGGATTATTTCAAGTTCCTGTACCAACAATAACGAGTAATACTCAGAACCATACATCACCAGCTTGAAAAGTTTATGGAATGGAGCTTCTAATGCAAATATAATCTACGAGGACTTGTTTCATACAAATGTGAATAAATATAACAATTTGAAAAAAATATAATTTTATTTAATTATAGTAATGTTATCTAATATTCTGAATTATTTGTTTTCTTGTTTTGAAACAACTCGTTGTTTTTTTATTGTAATGTAAATACTTCATTGTTAATAATGATTGCTAAGCAAGAATTTTCAATGTATGTTACTCGGTCATATTTGTTTTAGTTATCGAAATACGTCAAGTTAAATTAATGTTCTTTGATAAGTAGGGTCGGATTGATTACTGAGGATGGATTTATGTCTAATTATTAAAATGTAAAGTGTAACTAGACGTTGATTATTTTATTGATATGATTCGTTGTGTGATTAGTTATAGATGCTAGAGTTTATAAAGTTTAATAAGCTGGTTAATTTCCTTATTTAAAAACTTCACGTTTTACCAAGATAAAAAGTGTTAAGTTTTATGTGAAAATTAGTTAGTATTTCATTCTACAAACATTATGTTATCAATCAAGGTTTCTGAATTAGTCAAATTTAGTGAATTTCGCTAGTCAGAAGTATTCGAACACAACACAACGAATATATTTATTTAGATGATGAATGTTTTTCTATTACTTGTTTCGATTAGGTTTACCTAAGAGAGTATCACAGCACATATACAAATTTTCGTAGCACATATATATTTTGGTAACCATTCGTACCAATGTTTATGTGTTTAAATGACGATGAGATTTATAATAGTGAACATTTCTCTAGATTATGTTATCTCCTTTTCAGTTGTTTACAATTACTATCCATTCTTTTGATGTTTGCTCATAAGCACCGCTGTTTTACATCTAATTGATTCACTTATTTAAATGGTCCTCCCGGTCTCCAACATTCTTCGGACCTTTCATGTGATTGTATTAGTTGTTGCTTTGGTTTTTAAAAGAGATATCGTTCACGTGATTTTCGAAGGATCTTGGCCTTCACTATAAGGTATCACAATCTTTGTAATTGAAGATCCTTCAACTCCAAGGGCCGAGTTTAAATAGTTTAGATTGGTTTTTGTTGTTAGTACTTTTTAACAAGGTGTCCTATGGGATTGTATTGTTGACCCCACCCTCCTCCTTTATCCGCATTTGGGACCGACAGTAACCTCAGAAGGGCTACAGGAAGGATAGTGCAATATACGTACGCTACATAAGTTACTTGGTGTATCTTGAATAATACATCCAAGTTACTCAGCTGAAAATTTTAATTATGAAATTAATTTTCTCCAAATTGATGAAAATAAAAATGAAAGATAAGTTACTGCAAGCTTAGTTTATGAAGTGGATGCAATCAAATTATGCTAACCATCCAGTTATTTTAATTATAGAAGAGTGCTAGTAATTCAAGTATGAAGCATTTTACTGGTTATAACATGTATAGAAACTGTGATTTTTAAGTATTTGTATTATGCTGTTGTTGGTATTCAAAGTTGAATTTTCATCCCATTGTTGGAATATGTGCATTCTTAAAAGATTTTATCGATATAAGTTTGTTCTTACCATTCTTTATCCGGGACTGGCAGTAATCATGAAAAGATATCAAGCGAAATTGCTTTTCTTTTAAACAACCTAACAGTCCTAAAAGACTTCTAGTTTGAAATACATTCGGATATTAGTCCCTCATAACATAAGTTAATTTATTTAGGATTTTAACCATTTGTTGACCTTACTATAATATATTTAACTAATTATTCTTCAAACGAGTTATGTTTTCCACAAATATCAGGATACCATTTTGGAAACACTATTCATAGCCCTATAAAAGAGAATGTCGTTTCGAGCTATTTTTACTAAAGTGTTTATGATAAAATTCATTTTTGCATTGTTTGCTGTAAAAGTAAATTTATACAGTCGTATTTTAATCTTCATAGGCATGATGACAGTATAAATTAATACGACTTCATTTTCATACTAAGAATCCAATGCTCAGTGTTTACATAATTACTCCAAAGATTTCTTTTTTAATTACTTGGAATGGGATTGATATTTAGTTAGTGTATCCAACTTTAATTGGACATGCTGATAATCATCTAAAAAGCAACATATTAACCATTTGTAATATTTGTAGTTAATGGGCTAACAAAATATTAAAAATATCTCACTAAACTGTAAACCCTTCAGATTAATTAAAGAACCTATTAAAAACAACTCGTAAATTCATATCGCTTTAGTTTAGTTTGATCAGTGAGTTAGTGAATATACATCACCATTTAAACAAATCTCTTGTTTGTTTATTGTTTCATTCAATTTACCGAAACATTTCATGTTATTAATCTAATCAAATATTTATGTTAATGAAAAACGAGGGATACACAAAGAAATCTCGTTGATGACATTATCTGTTTAATACTTGTAAACTACAATAAATATTATTTGAAGTTCTTTTGGGAAATATATGTAATAATTAATCCCTTGTATTCGGCGTAGTTCGTCAATTACAGGAAGTATTGTATAAAGTTGTGAAATTTTTTCTACAACTGTAGCATAAAGCACATAGTCACTGTTTTTCACCTTACGTTTCACCATCTTACTGAATTTAAAATCTATGTAATTTAAATGTGATCAGTGATTTTGAACAATTCTACTACCATGATTTTAAACAAATTTTATTCGATTACTAGTTTTCTGTCACGACTTATTTCAACAGTACATCAGTGTAAATTACTGAAAAGAATAATAGTGTGCCATGATCCTAATCGTTTAATCTTCTAAATTATGTTTAGTTTATACGATCAGGAAGCTAATTTCCAGACAAGTTTTACATTGAAACATTGAGATTATACCAAAGTAAATTAATATCGTCACTATCTTTACCTTTCGCTACAGATACCGGTTATTTATTCATAATGGTTAATGTTAATTATTTATCAATCTACCGAAATACGGACAATTCGGTTTCACTTTATAATACAGTAAAACATTAGCTTCATATGTAGCTCAACTGGGTAATAAATTACATTTAAACACACTTTTTTGTTAGTAATTTCTAATATGTTGATACACAATCTGTAACCGTACTATAAATAATATCTAGGCAACTATATAAGTAGTTCAGGTTAGTAGTAAACATTCAGTGGTTTAGATCATTAAATAAACTAAGAGAATAAGATTGGATTTAATCATGAATTACAATTTATTAAATAAGTAAAAAATAAGTAATAAAAACAGTTCCATTCTGGATAAATCAGTATTTACGGAAATGAAGTTTTTAACAACATCAAATAGTGATATAAGTAGTTAATCCAAAAAAAGTGATACTTTACTGTATTTCATCATTTTCTTTGTATTCAATTAATTAATAACTTATATATATGGGATCAATTGGAACTGACATTTATTAAATATCCTTCTTATTGCCTTTATTTCTTTGAAGAATTCGTGCATCTTTTTTAGTATCTTGATCTTGTTGATTCACAGCAGTACTGTTATCTTGATGAGTAGATTGATTATTTGTGTATAATTCATCTTTTTCCATATTCGTTATGACAGGATCTGTTGACAGTTTATTAGTTTCTAAAATATTGTTACTTTGTTGTTGGTTTTGCGTATTTCGTAGACAAGCTTTAAACAATCCTCTGTCTTCTAAACCATAAATAACAAAACTCCATGTTCCCTTAATTCAAATAAAAAGATAATTTAAAGTGTAATAAACTAATTAACAAATTATTCAAATATTATTAACGTTGTTTAGTTAATAACTGATATATAAAGTGTGTATGACAACAGTTGCTTTACGTTTCAGGACTTTTTGATGCATAGATAGGATAGGATGCTCGCTACGACCGGTGAATTCGTAGTTTCATTCACTGACTGAACATAGCTAGACAACTAGTGAAAGCCAGGGGGCGTTGGTCAACTGCTTTATCACTAAATACTCCTCAAGAATTGAATATTGACGATTCATCGAACCTGTCGGGTGGGGTTTACAGGTTTTTTATTTCTAACTTCAATTAGCTCGTTATATTAGGTGATTGCTCACTGTTGTCAGTGATCTTCTCAGTAGAATTGAACAAAAATTGCGTAAATTCATTGGTTCATTTTTACAAAAGTGGTCGACTATTACACAAGTATATCGTTGTTTCTTCATTGAGAGATTCTTATGAGCTTACTTTTAAATTTATACCTCCATATTCTTAATGGAACTAATTAAATAATATAACAGCTAAAAAATTGTTTCACCAACATACTGCCTAGTTGGTCCTATCTTAAATATAAACTTTACCAATCAACAAAATTCTTTAAGAACATGATAAAAGTGTATGTAAATATGGACAAATGTTTCTTCTTGTTTTACTAAACTCACTTGTAAAGAGACGAGGGCAAATGCAACAAAAACTACATACGGTATTGTCACTTGTATCACAACAAAAAGTAGACTCCAAGTTATGAGATAGTACAATAATAATGAATTCAGTTTCTTCACACGTGTGCTAATTGAAAATAGAAAATTTTATAAACAAATAAATTGTATTAAAATTTAATTATGAGCCATGGAAAATTAATTGTTTGTATGCATCTAAGAATATTATCACAACAGATTTGTTGGTGATATGGATCATTGATGCTAACATCATCTGTATTGAGTGGTTTGACTGTGAAGTGTTTATTATTTTTTTTAGACAAGATCATTGACACTAAATATTGTATTAAAAAGAAATTCATTTTATCTGATACGCTATCAAACACGAACATTTCTTGTTTAGATTATAGACTTATGGATTAACGCTTAAAAAGTTTACCTCTGAAACCAAGTTACTGTAAGAAGTAATATGAAAAATAAATTGTAAAACTGTATTTTATTATTAATATATTTGTTATTGAAGATAAGTGTTATATCTTCAGCTTCACGTAGTTTTGATCACTTTCTGTTTATTGACATACAGTTATACTTTTATAACACCATTGTTTTGAGCTACTGAGTGATATCTACCTGTACAAACTTTCGTAAAAGATTAGATCAACGATTTCGTATTAAAGAAATTTCGTCCCTTTGTCCGTGTTATCTTACATTCTTGATTTTCATATAGTATAGAGAACATATTCAGAACAAGGAGTCTGTCATATTATTTACAAAGCAAATATGTAATAACAGTAAAACTCGGTTGTGAAGGTTCTGACTGAAGTTACAAATATTGACCAATCGGTTCACTGGATCCATTCAGTACACAGCTGCGTATGTA